TCAGATAAAATACCCTATAATATATTCAAAATAATTCACCAAAATCTGGGACTTCACTATTGAAGTGAAAAACAGATTGAATGTATTGGTTATATTTTGGTTGTTAAAGGAAAAATTTTCTCCTGTTAAATAGAATGAATGGCAAAGACTTCCCTGGAGATCACTAAGAAAATTTGTATCAATAATTTGATCAATAAATGAATGCAATTTTTTCACAAAGGTTCATTGTAGCAAATGTTAATATTAACTACATAAACTGACATATATTGTAGATAATCTGTTGCTTCTTTCTCATTTATCTACACTGGACTAGGAAAACATAATTCCCCTTGTTCTAGACCTAAATGCTACAAAAATATCGCTGTAAAAAATCAAAAAGATTTATACCTTCCATTCTTCTACTTTATTATTAACAGCTATCATAATAGCATCATCAGATTCTGATTTAGACTGTACTTTTTCTTTGAAATCTTCAATCTAAATTTCAAACAGAAGATATAAGAAATTACAACTTTTATTTATCTTTTAGTATGTATAATTTCAATCAATTCTTTTAGCAGCATGTGAGCAGACCACATTTGTTTTAGCATTAATGTAACTTAAATCTATTAAATTGGAATGTTTTTGTAGTTACATAACAGATTCAAGTTTATTAAACATTTTTGCTAATGGCACAACCTGCAATTGAACGCATAAGAAAGTCTGCTATTCTTCACTGCAAATTTGTCAAGTGCTTTTAATTTTTCTAAGTTTTGTTTCAGTCAGCCGATTACACATTAAAAACTTGAATTGGAAAAAACCAATACAAATTTACAGTAGAAAATTACTAGTAATATACCTCAGCCTTAAGAACTTCATTTTCTTGTCTTAGTTTATCAGTTACTTCATCACTCTGTTGTAGTACATTCTGAAATTAAATGATAGTGGTTAAAAGCTGACACTTACGGATGCATTGGTTGTGGCATCAGAATATTTCTTCCCTTGAGGAACCTAGTTGCCTAGCAGACAAGAATTTAACTCACTAGCAAATGACCAATATGAGAGGGTAGTATTGCATTTATAAAAGTCAAAAGTTGTTAACCCCTTCACGGAGATATTTGTAACGCCAGGTATAGGCAAGGATAGGGATTGAAAGCTGACTCAGGGCCAGCTCTCTGAAGTATGACCGTATAACAATATCTCTTCTTTGAGCTAGTTAACTTTTAAAAAATGTGTTCACCTTTATTTTCTGATAATCTTCAGCAGTTTTAAACATCTGTTCATTAGCTTCAGTTAAATTAGCTTCTAATTCTTCACATCTTTTCTGTAGTATCTCATTGTTATCTGTTAGATTCTATAATAACATTGATAAGTTTATAGCAACCATTATCATAAATTGGTTTCCTTTCTGACATTGCTTTTTTTGACTATCTTACATTTTCCAAATTTTTAATTAGAGAAATAAGTCAAATCTACAGAAGTACATATACGTGATGAAATAAGCTTACCTGTAGCTCTTCCATAACATCACTTAATTCACGATTCTTTTTAGCCATTTTTTCTCGAATATCTTGATCATCACCTCGCCTAGCTACCAGGTTTTCACGTTGAGCTTGTAACTGCATCATATAGTCACTAATATCTTGTCTATATTGATCATTCTACAAAATATAGTCATCAGTGTGTATTACTACATATATAAGTAGGGTAAGAAATATTATAACAGAACCTGAAACATGTTGTTAGGGCTATACCATATAGTTATCAAAAAAGCAGCATTCACCCAACAAATCAGACAGAAGACATGGCTGTCAATATTGCCAAAATAATCTTAAATGTCTAGATGGCACATATAATAATGATTCAATAAAAAATTCAAAATTAAATCTCTATTTTGATTCAAAATTAGCAATTAATTTAGGCAATTAAGTCTGGTCGAGACATTTCTAGGCAGATTCAGACATTAGGGGCTATTCCACCACTCCAAGAAAAGAGATAGATGTTGCATCAGTAAAAAAACATATACTCACATCTTTCCTAAGTCTACTCAATTCATCCTCTAGTTCATTTATTTTTTCACTATACTGTAACAGATAGAAGTTTTATTTATATACTGTAATGATCTATACCTTATTGGGCATTTAAGGAAAAAAGCAACATATGTTTTTTATCATTTTCCAATTGTATAATTTACAAAGGCAGTCTAACTCACTAAGCAACTGTGAAACTCAATAGGCCACTTCCCAACTCACTATGTCTCTGCTGAACATTACAATAAATTCATAACAAAAGGGTAAACTTACTTTTTCAGCTGCTCTCTTTTCATTACTTAGATCTCTCTGTAAATCGCGAGATTCATCATGTAACTGTTGATTCTGTTCCTCTAAATCACGAATCTGATCACGTAGATATCTGGTGTCTCTAGCTGTAGAAGCACCAGGACCTCCTGTATCACCTGGTCCGTATTTCTAAAATCATAGAAGAAATATCGAAATTAGAAGGAAAGGTTTCCAAAGAAATCATAATTATCTTGATAAAAGAAATTAAACCAAAAAAAAAATTCTTGGATATATTTTGCTATAAAAAAGTAGCAGAAACACTTTCATGTTTGGATATGGGAAGATAAACAGATAAAAGTCATTTGAATTATTGTGAAAGATGGGAAAAAGTGTGCATCACTATTCAGAATGAAAATAATGACAACAAGTTTGTCTACAAAAAGCATCAGTAATATTATGTATATGAGAATGTTAATATTAGTCTAACTTTCTAAAGTGATATATATAGTTTAAATCGGGCTGTATCAAAAGCCGTATTTAATACACACATTACCTTTAATTCATCAATTTCTTTATTCAACTTAGTGATCTTTCCTTTTAACTCATTTTCTAAAATAAACATACATTTCTATATTTTTGCAACTATAAATCATACAGATCTAAAAGCCATGCATGTCCATCTAAACAAAAGGGTAGTCTAATGCAACATGTTTATAATGCTGACCAAGAATAATTAAAACATTTAATAAATGAACCATCAAGATTTATAAATAAAAAATTTATCTCCAAACCTTTCTTTTCAGATTTGATTGCTTCTTTCTCAGCTTCTGTCATTGCCTCCTCAGATTCTTGATATTTCGATACCATAACTTCTTTTGTGACATTAAATAATTTCTTTAATTTGGTAGGATCAGTCTCTGAACCAATATCACCCTAAAATACACAAAAATAAGTAAACCATATTGAAAGAGTTGTTTCAACATCTCATTACTTTGAAACTCATCACATTTTTGCTGTGAAAAAATCCACATAACAGATCTTAAATCAAACATCATTAAGCAACATATTATAAAGGAATGACAAAAAATGGCTCAATATTGAAATACCACAGCAACATTTAATTAATGAATTGCTACATACTGTATTCCTGAGTGGTTCAATTGATTATCTCAAATTTTTAAAAATTGAACTTACATCTTTCAGCATATCATACAGATTTTCTACATCATCTGCATCAAGACTAGACGGTTCAACCGTCATAATCTTGTCCCATGCCAATGGCGGCATTTTGGCAGTTATGTCTTACAACCACTTATCTGAAAGATTACAACATAGTCATTTTTAATTTTATTCATACCCTAAATTTAAACATTAACGTGCAAATATCACATTATCTTCTCATCAAATAAAAAAAAAATCCTGATTATAACAAATTGTATGTTGTGTTAATATCTAGTGTACGGTATCTAATAATCTTATATTAATAATCTCATTTTTCCATGAGTTAAAAGAAGCTAGTAACTTCGGAACATGTAATCTGGCGACTATTCTTTTTGACTGTATGTATATTTTGTGTAGAATTCTTGAAAAAAAATGAATGAAGTTTTACATCCCACTTTCTGCACTGTTTATTTGACTGCTAAATAAGGTGTCAAGAGTAAGACCAAAGGCCTAAAGTGTTGAATGTGGAAAATTTTGCCAGGACAGTGACATTGACCTATCATTCCAAGGAATGCTTAATATGCACAGCCTGTAGCACACACAGCATCAGATAATTGTCCAATCTCAATGTTCTTAGCTTTTTCTGTCACTGTCACGCCAGTGTCATTCATTCATTGTCATCTGCATTCCAGAACAGAATTTTGAAGAGTGTCATAGCAAATGTATTTTTCATTCATTCACTAAGCCTTGAACAATTTATTCAGATGTGTCATTGTCGTTGTCACTGTCAGTTGGCCCTGGTAATGTCACAATATATCAGGCAAAATAACACAAAACATGTTTGATCATGAACAAAAAACATAAACCATGGCTATCGACCCAGTCAATTTACAACAGGATTCAAAACGTGTCACAAAGGATGTAAATAGATTATACTGCAACGGCGAAGTAAAACTAAAAAATCTTTTACCTAAAAAACCATTAGCAGTCACTGATTTTGAAAGTTGTTTATTTTTTACCTCGGAATGTCCGCCATTTTCAAACATTCGGTAACCATTTAGTATCTTAAAATGAAACGCAACAATCTCATGTGAAGATCTTCATAAAATGGCATCAATATATTTTCATTTAACCTCCATGTTTACGAAAATAATATGATCATTATTATTGATAACATAATTTTGAAAAATTAACAAAACTATATTGATTAAAATAATATTTCGTTTTGGAATCATGAAAATATTTTTTTTTAGTAAGATTAGTTCGAAATAAAGAGACATCATTATAAATCCATCCATCTGATCTGACCAACACCATAGAACACTCCGTATAAATTATGTTCCATGCCAGCACCAACTAACTGGATTTGGAAACTATTCAATTTATGTAAGCAGGGCCGAGAAAATTTATTCATTTATTCAATCAAACCACGACGGTTAGTCCTTTCCTTAGAGCATAGAACTGTATACTGTATTAGTATTTACCATTTCGGATTATGTTTACCCTGTTCAAGTCAATACAACGTTGGACGATGTGACATTTGGTCGATTTGACTATTTGATGTTTTTTCCGGTTGTCAAAATGTCAGATAAGAAAACGATCTGGATTAAAATTCACAGGCTTTATCTAACAGGTAAAGTTTAAGTATAGATTTATTTCGTTTCTGAATGCTAGTCCAAAACTGGGCCCTTACCTACCTTTAATAAGAATGCAGTCATCTATTATGATCTAAATATTTGCTTTAAAGCTCTTGTATAATAATAGCAGTCAGTGTAGGTGACACTTATACTGACAGTGTCACTTTCAACATTGCCATTGTTAGGCTACTGTAAATTTAAAAAAAGGAAAAATACAGTGACAGGCTACTATGCTGTATTAAGTAAAATGACACAGGATCATCACATCTAGCTTTTGTAGGCTTAAGCTATTTTTTGTAGAAAATGGTCCTGGTGGAAGTGAAATAAATAAAATAGAGATTAATGAAGATGAAAGTAGTAATGATATCAGAAATAAAATAATATCTACATTTGTACTTGATAATAGTCTAATTCTAAAGGTAAGCAAATTTTCTTTTTATGAGAATAGGAATATCAGCCTCAAAATCATACTGATAGTCTTAGAATGTCTTTATGTTGATAAAAATATAACGATGAGCACATGTTATGTCTTCAAAATTTGTTTTTTCAGAGGACAATTTTCAGTCAAAATTAATTATTTTTTTAGGTTGAAATTTCTAAAAGAGAAGTGTGTTTCTTTTTATTGTGAACTTACAAAAGATTATTTTTTTTATCAAAGCAAAGACATTCTAAGACTATCAGTACTATTTTGAGGCTGATATTCCAATATATTGAAAAAATTCAAAACACTTTTCAACTTTCATAGACAATATTTTTATTCTAAATATAAGTAGCAGTCATATTTAATTTCAAATTCATTCATTCAAACATTTTTGGTTAATAGTTTAAAGATATATGCCTAGGTAGTTCATGTCATAGTGGCAAGTTGAATCTTGTTATTTGTTATATTTTTTTTTTCAGGTTAGAAATGAAAGAAATTCCATGGTACCAATAAATAAAAGATTACAAGCCAATTCACATCAAAGGTAAAAATAAAATTGTAAATTTTTAGTCCCTGTTGTGTTGTGGAGTTGTTGCTCCTGTCATGTGGGAAAGAAAATCTGATTTTCAATGGACCCTATAGTTCAAGTCTTCATTAAGCTGTCCAAAACTACAATCAAATAACCCACAGAGTACCTTTTATGAAACAAAATATCTAGAACTGTATTTTAATCAGATTTGTCCAAAACCTCTTCTTTTTTTTATCTTTTAGTCCTTATATATTAGAAGTTGTGAAGAGGCATCAAAGTGGTAAGTTTTTTCAACAAACCATTATTTAGATGATATTATACATAGAAATAAATTTCCATATCAGTGTTGACTGTGTTGATAAAGTTGTAACATTCTTTGAAAGGGCAAATATATTTTTTTTTTGTAGTAAATCCTTTATCAAGATCTGTGAAATTAGATAGTTATAATGAAACAATGAAGTTAAAGTTAATAGATATTATTACTAGAGTAAGTATTAATTTATTATTTTTGAGAAGTAAGAAGCTAAGTAGGTTTCAGTTTATTCCTCTTGTTGATAGACTGATTTTGTTTAAGGACAAGGTTGTACTGAATTTTTTATATGAAGATTTAATCAAATTATTCATTTATAATTAAAAAAAAAATTACATGAAAAACAAAATTTCTTGAAAAACAAAAGGGAGACCTCAGATGAGTGTGATCTTAATATTCATTAAATAATTTAAGCTCATCTTTGAATAATTACTTGCATTAAGTTTTCATCATCTTATACTAATCACTTTAGGCATGGCATTGTTTGTCTTAATTCATCCATTAATTGGTTCACTGAGAAAAGCAGAACAGCTTTATCTTAACTTATGTTTCATATTGTAGATGGAGAAATTAGAAAGTGCTTGTCCAACCTTAAAATCAAAAAGAGAAGATAAAATACATACAGTAAGTGATTTGTTTTATACAGTTTTATAAAACTCATTTTACAGACAAAGGTTTAAAAAAAACCAGTAGCTACTATGCTATCAAAACTAGTGATAATGTGAAATATATAAAACAAATAAAGAAAATCTTCACATATATACAAGAGTTGTTTCCCTTCTTTTGGATGAGAATTTTATGAGTAATTTCATTTCAGTGATTTTCTTCATTCTTTAAAATATTATTCAAATTATTTAACTCAAGTTCCTGCCTAGGTATTGCTGTCTGTCCTTAGACATTTGCTACTGTTTCAAACGTATTTTAACAATATTTTGTTTGCTCATGAAATTATAAATTCTGAATGAGGTTGAAATGCACATTTTCACTCTCGACAGTTTTGTATGTATAGCGTTTGACTTTACCACAATCACATTATGAAGGTGATAGAGGCTAAAGTTATGATGTTACATTGACAAATCTTGGTATTTACATTTGTTGATGATATGACAATAATAAAATATTTTCACAGTTAAAATAGTGCTCAATACATCATTTGTAGATTGAAATAAAAATGTTAAAATAGAGCTTAAAGATTGCAAGATTGCAATATTTCTCTTAATGACGATATAGGTTTTTGTTATTAGTTTCTAGTTATTGCCATTGACAAAATTATTAAAATCGTATTTTATGGAAATATATATTGACATTTTGCATTCACACGGCAGGTGAATACACAAGTGAAAAATAATGTGGTTGTGAAGGAAATTTCCTTGGTTGAATAAGACACGACCTTGTAGTGTCATAATGTTTATTGACTTTTTAAGATTGATTTAGGTTTAAAGTAGTATATAAATAGTTCTCTATTTGACAATTATTGTGTTAAAAACATGTTCAAGGGTATACTTATTCCCTGTGTGCATTTGGATACACCTCATAGTCATCATCACCTTAAATTACACATAAAAATGGTTATGGGATGAAAATTAAATGACACTTTCTTATCTTATTTCCAATATCGAGATCTGGCTTGACATCTTTTTATGGAGACTTAACAAACTGAAATTTCTAGATTTAAACCTCTTAGGTTGAGATCCATATTTTGCAAGAAATTGAACATAATCAGTTAATGTCAAGTGGGGAATATGTAACTCCAGTTGTCAATGTATCAACTAAATCCAGCAATAGATAAGTTGTGTCAGATTATGCCAGTGACAAGTAGCAGTTGAAAACCATAGTGCTTTCAGAGGTTGACCTGCAACCACTTTTGAAGAGTAGTTATAAGACATAGGTAATTTATTTGACTGTTCTGCTTTCATTCATAGTAGTTCCTGGTAGAATTTCTCGCATTGATAATTGTCTTTCCTAGTGAAAAGTATGAAAAGGGTTTTCATCATAAGTGGCAAGATACATGTCAGCAGATTAGTCTACTACTGAGAATAACATCTCAATATAAGCCATGGGTATAAACTTTGTTGATTCTTGGCACAATCTGATTAGAAAATAGAATGAACTATTGAATGGTCAACATGTTGTTAGATTACACGGTATCTTTAATCAGTAAACTGTATGTTTAAAAATAGTAAAGAGGATGTGTTTTGTTGACTGTCTGTTTTTAGACAATATTTATCCTAGTCTCATGTCAATTTGACTCTATATCAATAACAGGTCCGTTTCAGTGTAAATAATACCTGGGTATGTTGGTTTTCAAAGTTTAGGATTGTCTATATCGCCTTAGGATACTTTTAATTTAACAAAACTTTTAGGGCTACAACTTGGAATTGATTTTTTCATCAAAAGGAATTTTTTTTCTGCTCTACTCAATTTCAACTAGATTTGGCATCCAAAAATTGTTAAAAAAAACAAATTATGAGCAAATTTAAAATCCCTCTTGAATTTAGTGAATAAATTTTCTGAAGGGAATATTATGTTTGTTGATATTTCTTGAAATTTGGTAGTGGAAAAACAGATAGTTCTATTTTAAGGGGGCATGTTCACTATCCATGTGATAGTCAAAATCAACAATGACGTGCTTGTAGTTTCAAAGCAGTTCTAATGTACAAATTTGTATTAAATTTTTATTGAGCAAGAAAATTGTATAGCCCATTTACAAGGTTAATTAGCTCATAGTTACCAAAGTATTGTCATAGATTATAATTGTCACTTGTCAAATGATAAAATAATGGCCCATTTATTGTTATCTATGTAAAAAGGGAAGGTCATTTAGAACTTGCATACATAATTTCATGACCTTATCAAAGTGACATTAGTGTTAGATATGTGAGATAATAATAGTCTTATCTATCTATCAAATCTAGTATTCCCATATATAGGTATTAAGAATATGTCAGTCAATAGCTATAGCTAATAATGACAGCTAATGTAAATCTGATGTATTACAAAGGCCTGATGTAAATTAACTTTAGCAGTCCTCATACCAATAGTTTCATTATTTTTCAGAGATTAAACCTATGACATCATTACTCCTCTATTTTGTTATTGCCCATTTTAATATAAAACAAGTTCCCCCAAAAAAGAAAGATACCACAAATTCAAGACTGAATAACTTAACACCTGGCATCATAAAATGTTCATTTAATTTACATTGGTAAAAATCAATAAGAAACAATATAACTGTATTGTAAGAGGGATTCAAAAGAGATATGCTTGTCTCTGTATACATAACTGGTAGTGTAAAATTCTATTGTTACCATTGTAATCTCATTCTGGGTTATTACATTAACACCATTATGACATGAGTTTTTGCAAAAGCCATTTGACTTGAATGGTACAAAGATAAAAAAATGTTTTCTTAATCACTTAAAGGGACAGTTGCACCATTTTGGGGTTGATTTGAGTCTTAAATATATGTAATGAGTTCTAGAAATGTATGAAATCGCATAATTCCTTCAAAAATATCCTAAACTAGGAATTTCTTTTCCTATTGCTATAGATGTCTATGGCAGTGTCACTAACACAGATAGTTCTAGACACAGATGGATTTGAAGGCTCAAATTTGACGGTGAGCTGTGAACACTATTACTATTACACTATTGTAATATTGTATATAAGGATGGTCATGTTTCCATTAAGTTTGCTTCCATGTCTTAATTGATTTGTGATTTTGAAATTTGTCATAAATGATCAAAATAATTGATGTTTATTATGTAATATTTCCAGGAATTAAAAGATATTGATAGAAAATTGAATTTCCTAAATAAAAGACTGTCAGAAGCTGATGATGCCAGGTGGGATGGCATGTTTAATAAAAACCCACTATGGTGACATTGGAGAGTTCAGTGAACAAAATGGCATTTATACATGATGAAACTACAGCATTTTTACATGACTATATTGTTGGATATTATTTCAAATATTATTAAAATTGTTATGTACTTTCTAAAGTATTATACTTGGAAACCCATTCGTTTTCCATTTATACTCTCTGGCTGAAAATATAAAGTTTCAAATATTTTATTTGTTAAATCAATGCATAAATGCGAGTGGAGTTACCCACAGAAAAAATAGGAAGCAAAGCTCTCTATACCTGCATCTGAATAAGAATCAATTTTGAAATTTTCTTTTATATGTTTTAATTTATAACTTAAGTACATTTTATATTAACAATCAGCATTTTTTATTGTAACTTACCACCAGGGATCTTATGTAGAATTAGTGTTCTTTTATAAACTGATAGAATAGATTAGACTATTTATTTAAACTACACATTATATAGATATTATATTTAATAATATAACCTATGATATTTGAGATTATTGTGTTCATGTATTGTTAGATTTATGTGATATTGTAAAGTCTACCGTTATTGTTGTCCTATCTTTTATATTTTATACCTCCAATGTTTAACTTTTTATAGGATTGACCTTCAGGTAAAAAAAATGTCCCAATTGTGTTGTATCTTAAAAAAAAATATATGTCGTGTAACTTGTACAGCTTTGAGGTCAGTTGATTGGTCTTATTCCTAATCATCTTATGCTCAGTAGGGTTTCAAGGAAAAAATTATGTGAGGGGGGCCAAGCACCTAGGGAGGAAACAGGCAATTCTGTCACTATGTAAAATGATAAAAAAATGAAAGTAGCCCTCTTTTCTTCCCCCCTTCCCTCTCATAGAAACTCCACTGCTTATGCTTCATTTCTGTAATTCTACTTTCGTTTAATAAACTCACAAAAATGTTCACACATTTCTCTCAACTGATACCATCATCATGATTTTTGGGAAAAAATAAAACAAAACCATATATCAAATAACATACTCTATCTTTTCTTTCTTTTTCTTGACAGCGGTAATTGTGATGAACAGAATCATCTTATTAAAAGATCTGAAGATTGTGTTTTTATTGTGTTAGTTATATTATTTTAATGTTATATGTGCTGTTATTTATTGGTCAAATTAAATTAGATATTATATTTTACTCCAAAGTCTTTCATTTATTTGTTACAATGGTTAAAAGTTTGAGATTATAATGTAGAAATGGAAATAGTTATATCTTAAGTCATTTCTTAAATAAGCTAGCGTCTGGGCATTAAGGAAAGTGTGACAACAGATAAACCTGTGAGTTATCATACCAAAGAGTCTAATTTTGAAGACAATTGACTTATTTTGCCGACTCAAATCATAAAAATATTATCTTTGAAAATAACCTGACAAGCATGATTTCTCACGTGTGTTTCTGCTAAAGCTTCCTATCGCCAGGTATTTCTGTTGGCATGGTTACCAATTTCTACCACAAGAACAAAAACATAATATTGCATAGGCTACACGATAGTCTTTCGCTAATGAAAATAATGTCTTTCAGCATTTTCTACTTTCTTCAATACTGGACTAAATCTCACCTTCAGTAATAACATGTATTTAGTTCCATGCCCAGAACTATAACTTGTAATGGTGGGGAGGGGTTAAATTAGATGACGTGTTAATAATTACTTTAAGCACCAAAAGGTTGAAAGTATACTTTTAAACATGAATTGTAACTATTTCAGCTGCAGCGGTAAACAATATATTGATCAATATTCAAGAAATACTATCATTAAAGAAACATTCGTCTCCAATCTAACTAAGACCCTCTTTACCTGCAATGGTCTTGGCTCTAGCACATAATTATTTCAATGAAATAAACCCACAAGGGTAAATAAAAAATGCAAACGGGATGTAAGACCATTTGAAAGCTAAGAAAAGATATCTACACTTAATAGCAAAGTTTGAATAAACTTGCGGCGACAAGTAAATTAATATATTTCTGAAACAATTTGAACTTGAAGTAAATATTGTTGGAACAATTGCTACTTATTCGTGTTCCTTTAACTGATGTGCATGATAATTCTTGTTTCCATAACAGAAAATGTATAAAGCCAAAGTTCAATTTTTAAACTTCTTGAAATTCTAACACAAGAAACAAGCTGGCACCTTTCTGTGGTTGAAATGGAACATCCACGTGATATTTACAATACGGTGTATACTAACTACATGGGACTAATGGGACTCCATACTATAGATAAAATAGAGGTATCTGCTGCCAACTGGCATTTAGCTTGTTAAACGTCATGACCATTTTTGGAAACCAGGTAAGAAAGGTAGATAGATAGAGAGGTGCTACTGCCTACATTATAACAGACAGTTCCATTATGAAACTCAATATCGGCCAATAAGCGAAGTGTATAATAAATACCAGGCGAATACCAATTCACCGATCATTGTTTGTAAACACATATTGATACATTATATGTTACCACATCGAGTTCAGACTGATAACAGTATTTGATAATGGATTTTATATCATTAAGTGGTGCTCTCTATCAAAAATTAGTTCAGTAATTAAACGCATCTTGGATGTTTTAATTTGAAGTGCTGTACGTACATAGATAACATGGCCAAGTGATATAGCATTTTCAAGGCCAAAACAACAATATAGTTCAGGTATTCTATTCTCTTGATTTATGCTTAGAATAGAATTAAAGTATAGTTAATCAATTTACACTATTATGAAAAAAAAAACGCCCTTTATACCGCTATAAGAATATCTCTCAATTTTCTGTTAAATGTGTAATGACCTTGAACCAAAAACAGATTCAGATAATATTTACAAATTTCAGTCAGTTATTATGATTATTAATAATAGGAATTCATCTGATTCTTCAAGTTGATTGGATATTTAGGCTAGCAGGATGCATATCCATTTGTTAAATTTGCAGGTAGGTCTAAATTGTATAAGATTTAGTAGAAGGTGAACAATATTGCATCATCGTAACTTTCGTCTATACCGTTTACACCTTTTCTGTAATACATTCTAATTTATATATATAGACTAACTATAGGATTCATCTAAATAAATAATGTTATATACTTGGCCTTTTGTATAGTTGTATTAATATCGTACTCTTTTAGTAGTAAGTCTGAATGAATCGTTGTTTTTGTAAACAGGAAATTGGCACTGGCAAAAAGCATCCAATCTGAGGCCTCAACAGAAAGTCTTTAATAAGCCATAACGTTTACAGTCTTTCTGTCAAGGGCACGGATTGGCTGTATTTGATGGCCTATAATCCAATCAAATCGTTATATTCCATTATAGAAAGGCTCTTATTGCAGTCAAGGTATAAGACGAATTTCGTAATCGCTTGACATTGTGGAGATGGAGGGAGGGCTGTAGCCAACCAATCTTTTTAGGCAGTTCCTGTAAAAAAACATAAACAATTAATAAGAGTAATTAAAGCTTATATCAGTCCGGTGATGCACCACATCAGTAGTAATACCATCTGACATAAATTATTAATTATGCATATTTTGCTTTATGTGCATATTTTGCTATATGTGCATCACCAAACACAGAGGGAATTTCATTTCAATGGGTAGCCTACAGATAATCCGGCAAAGCTCAGAGGTTTGGCCAAGACCCGGAAAGGATCCTTAACTGTGAACCTAAGTTGTAATACTTGTATTTCTTTCTTTCCGTATTCTAATCCTTTTTCTTCCCCAATATTTCAACCAATATATAGCAGAGATTGAATCAAATTATGCATTTCTCTTTATATGACAAAAATAAAATTGCATTGACAGCGAAATAGGCCTATATGGTACCAATTAGTATATTATTATGGACATATTGAGCTAAAGGGATTATTATTATCTGTTAATTTTGAAGGGTAAACACAACCTGGGGGTTTAATCCTATCAGGTCGTGTCAAACAGTGCAGTCTATGAGCCCCGGGGTTTTATTTCTGTCAGAAGATGTACATCAATGATAAATGTCATGATTTCATCAATATAACGATAATCTATAACAGGGTTATATTTGATTACGTCAAATTATCTTTTACAATATCTTTTCTTGATGGTCCACAACATACACCATTTTAATTTTTAATGTTACTTTCATTGTCTGTATAAGAAAATCACAGATCTCAATCCAATTCTATACAGTGAAATAGAATGTCTTGAAACTATTTTCCATGTCTCCGAAACTCCGGAGAGCATAACTCCAGTCACATTTATGGTAGTATTCAATTGTGTATAGACAATGGAGGAACTAGGGAACTTCCAGATCTCTTCTCTTTCGACACAGTTGGAATTGGTACGGATAATCAGTGGAGGATCAATGCTAAATCGTTTCTCCCTCTCCCCCAAACCCCCTCCAAACCATGATAACCTTTAAGATACCACTCATAAGCAGACCGTGGATCTCCCTGATCACTCCCTCTAAACAGCATTATTTTAAGGGTCGCCCCGATTTCTCCCATTAAAGACCAGTGCATGCCACATGCCGAAGGAATCTCTATGACCCTATGATATCTAAACAATTATTAAAGAGCATGGCAATATAGAGGCCAAGGTTGCATAAAATCAAATGGCATTTCATTTGAAGGAAGGAAGGTCATCCTATTCAGATGGTTCGTGTAGCTGGTATTCCTGACCTACTTAGCTGTCTGGACAAACAACAAAATCAATGTCTCCAGAGATTTTTACTCACTGACATCTGAATGAATGTAGATTCACTCTTATCGATTTAGGCCTATATGATTGATTTACAGTTACCATGGAAACCCAGGATAATTCTCTTTCAGTTAGCTTTTATTTGAACCAGAAATGTTTTTTTTTATTATTGTTATTGAATGGTGAATGGAACTAATATTGTGCATTGATAAATAGAACGATTGAGCTTTTCCCTGCCAATTTTACCCTCAACATACCTTTCCTGAAAGTTTTTTAATGTTAATACCATATACTATATAAATCCGTTTTTTTGAACATCCTAACCATCTTTAATACTAATTTGTAATGCAGATGTGGCTATGAAGGGGATAACTTTTCTTCTCTGAAATAATCAGTCGTATTGCCAGAATGTGTTATTAGACTGCATTTGAGCCTACTTCTTTAAGAGGTTCTGAGATGTTTTCTAGCTTTTTTTTATTAGTATTGGGGTCATTGATGGCTTCTATTTGCGTCATTCCAAATTTCCGTCAGCAGCCTGCTGTTCCTATTTCTAGGGGAATGATTAACCGTATATGATACAACTTCTGCAAATTCTGCTAATGATATCTTTTTTTCATTAAGGTGGCAAGTTAATAAAATAGAATTGAAAGTCCCACAGACGTTTAATTGAAAATTAGAAAGGTGCAAATCGATGCTTTCAGAGTCCTCGATACACATAAAATATTAAAAGGATCTCTTTACAATATTTGTTTGATTTAATTCACCATCTCTGAAAACGTAAAACACAAGAACAGTTTGTAAATATAATTAGTGTATGATGTTACTAACATATTATCACGACATAATTCAGTTTGGCAAGGTTTATTTTTCTTGAAGTGCAAAGTCAAGCAGGTTGATGCAGGTATATTCCATATATAAAACAGTAACAAATATACAATTTTGCTCAGGGAAACCGACTGGCAACAATATCCCCACAACTTCACCCCTTAAGTTGCATCTCACTTAAAGATAAAGTTCGTCTACAATGAAATAACACGAAATATCTAACAATTCTGCCGTGCACATTATAACGATATTGTCACTTCGCAGTACGGAGACTGGGGATACAAATAGGGGGCAGACTGACTCATCGGGGGGACAACTATCGATGCTGAATTCAAACTGAGGCAACGCTGGTGAGGCGTCTTGATTTAGTGCATTCTGACACATATTTTAGGACAAAAATGTATAAAAATCATATTTTTTCAAATTTGTCAGAAATAAAACGGGGATACAATCGAGGGTGCAAAAAAAGATTAACATCAAAAGGATTTAATCGAGTTACATTTTAAATTTGGAAAATGTGTTTATTGTCACGTAAACTTTTTATTTCATCAAATTGTTTAAAAGGGCGAGATTTGTGTCAACTTCATCTATAATATATATTAAACTTGTTATTGGTTACTATGTCAAATATTCATCTTTGCTTAATTCCAGACCACACTGTAGTAACCGACCTAAGATATAAAACATATTTCCGCATCACTCAAAGTAGTCATAGATCTCATATCTGTGATATTTAAATAAATGGCATAGAAATTTAATTAATACTGATAGTTACTACAATGTTTATATCATTTAATATGGAACAATTCCTAATTAAACAGAGAAAAAAACCTTTTCAAGTTCCACCTTCATATTTGGCGCTTTTATAACATAAATTTGTCAAAATAGATTCCAGTTCCTCATGGTGTCTTGACATGCTATTTTTCTAAAATAAAAATCATAGGACATTGCTATTTTCATCTCTGTAAATTGACATAATTTATATATGCTATATCTGAGACGTCACCTTTAAGACTGTATGTTATGAACAGACACTTTTAATATCCATATTAATTGGAAACTTCCCTCACGTGATATGGCGTGTGATAGTACTTTATAATATAGTGAATAATTGAACCATCCTTTATTTCAATACAACTGGGTCAAACAAAACGTTGATGTAACAGTAAATTATATTTCATTATAAACTTCAACCACACCTCATGTATAACTATTTCATCGTTTGAAAATTTATATCATTTAGCACATATTATACGGTAAGATAAACCGGACATCCTTGTTGTGTTTTAATATTTCTATTTTATAATATTGTAAAGTTAAATTCAAATAGTATAGTTGTAACCTAGATTTCGACAGGCCATTGTAAAATTTATCAATACTTCTCGACGGTTTCTTTAAACATTACGTTAACACAGCTAGCTGTAATATATTAGAAAGAGGCTCGATATAGATCAGCAACCAATCGTGTTACGCCGTATCATTCAAGCACGTGCTGTGTGGTGTCTCCAGGCAACTCACCCAGTCCTATAAAACCAAGACGTTGATTCTTCTTCTTTGCAGACGCCAAAGATATTTCTGACACCAACCAAGGGTTTGATATCTCGGTACTCTCTCAAAATGGCAAGTGGAGCTAATTTGAATACTGAACAACTCTATGAAAAATTATGTGCTCAAAAGGATTCAAAGTCATTATTGAAGAAAAACCTTACTCCAGAAATTTACAAGGAATGTAAAGACAAAGTTTCAAAATTCAAGGGAAAATTGGCTGATTGCATCCGATCAGGTAACATATTTTTGTTTGTAATTTTTGTAAGTACATTCATGAGGGTGTGTGTGTGTGAACATTTCTCTTACTAATGGACATCTAGAGGACAATATAATCCTGTGTTGGACATGATTGTTCAAGAATTTTTGCTTCGATTTGCGAATGTTTCTGTGCATGGTTCGAAACACTATTACAGGCGTCATCTTTTATGAGAAATTAAAGTGTTGTTAGTCAGTTAAGGACCGATAAGAGTGGTTGCTCGCCGGTCATTGTAGTTCAAACATTGTGTACGGTACAGTAGGCAAAATGGCAAAACTTTGCACTGTATTATCAAGGTGTTATTTTAAAATTAAGTATACCGAAAGACAAGGCCAATAGGCCTATTAACTATTTTGACTCTCTAACTAAGTGCAAAATTAAATTGCAGAGCGACATTAAGACTGTAATTGATTAATTATTGATAAATTTCCACAAAGAGCTGTTCTTAAAATAGATTTTAATATTACATTATAAACTAGTTTTACTGTTCACAATATCGATTCTACCTACACAGTTAATATATTGCAGTAGTCTAATGTTATGAAATGTGCTGATTAGGAGTAGAATATTTATTCTTGGCTGTTATATTGTATAGCTTAAACACCTGGTTTTGATATATTCTCAGGTAGACTGAAAAGTATTCGAGTATATAATAATACTGTAGGCTTTTACGTACAAGGATTTACCAAGGTCACAACAAACTGGGTCTCGTTAAGTATTACTTTTGTAAGTCGTCAAACCTTTTGAATGTAATACTTTAGGGCTGGATCGGATTCCACGTGTAGACAATAGGTTGTAATTTAATTTATTCCTGTAAGTTCACATCTCGAATTGAATTCGATAAAACTCCATTTCATTTCGAATTGAACTCGATTGGAAATATGTATAGTAGATATTTAAAGGTTGAAAACGGCACATTTTGGGGTCTTCATGGAAGATTTGAAACTGAGAGCAAAATTTCATCGCCCTCGATAGCCTTTCCCGATATATAATATTTGGAACGATTACATAGACTGATCTAAACTTGACTAGCCATGGACATTTTTGCAGAAAGTTGTATTGCATTACAAGTTTGAACGATTAGACGAAAATATCTCCTTAGTCTACCCCACCCCTCTAATTTGTGTACAGGCTACTCGACCTTAAACAACTATGGCGACTTTGTCTAAGGTCAAGTGTTACATATTGATCGAGTGCCAATATACTTTCGTCATACTAACATAGTAAGTTGAGACACTCATTGTGAGCACGTCTATAAACTAGGTAACTATAATCAGACTATACATTCCGTCACTATGTAAAACATTTCAGTAAACCGGCTGTTGCTAAGAAAGGTAAACATTCAAGGTACAAGTTAACTATTGAACTCGGTACATAACAAGGCCAAATGCACAAACTGCAGTTAAATTGCATAAATAATAAATCTTTAAAAAGATCTTTAGAACTAAGAATCTGAATAAATACATACGTATCAAATTAAATATATTTATATTATACAACAAAAAAACTAATAATAACAATAAGCTATAAGCCAGTAAAGGCCAAAGGGGGATAACTTCCAGTTAGTCAAATTTAGGCTGATTAATTATTTACTATATAATGTATAGTTCACCATTCCATAACTTTTCAATTGAAAAGTACTGACCTACTCCTCTATCAACGCCTTTTAAATCCCGTTTTTCTGTATTGTACTTCTCCCATAGTATCTAAGCTTTTTTTTTTTTACGACGAGTTTCCGCTTCTCCCATCATGATGCTGCCATTTTAGTAAAATCATACGTTTTTATGGGAGGTAACTCTGCCTTCGTAATCTTGCGGCACCAAACCACAATAAATTATATGCATACAACTTCCTAGTTTGATGGTTTTGAAGGAATTAAGCGATTTTCGTACATTTGTGATTATTTACATATATTCAAAATTCAAATCAGCATCCTTAAGTGGAATAGCGATGTCCCTGCTACTCAAATACGTTATTGAAATCATGCCTCCCTTTTTGTACAGATTTATAAATTTCTCTTACCTGTAAAACCAATCTTGGTAGGCCTATATACACCCCGATTATCAGAGTTGTCGCCAAATTTATGTTCAGGTTAGAGGCCTATATACTAGCCTAAAGGCCTAGCTTACTCATAGGACTAGTTGAATAGGCCTAGGGCTAGGCTTAGCCTAATAGCCTGGCCTATTTGAAGCCCACACTGCAACCCATTTTGAATACCGGTACAATTCAAACCTGAATATTTTCTAGATTCCATTTGAACACAATTGTACAGTTTTGTCAGTTCCATTAGGCCTTTACATGGTGCAGAAAAATAGGACGTAAAACTCCATTCATTTCATTTCCATTAATGCTAAGTAGACTAGCTGGGCTATCGCTATCATAATCAATCGGTTAATCTATCTTTAACCATATGTCAGCTTGTTTATAATAAAATCTAATATGCAAAATATTTATTTTGGCACAAAAGTGAAACTTGACTTGGCCTGTAACATAGGCCTAGCACTGTAGCAGTTTGCGAAGTAACCGAGGCATAGTAGAGAGATCTGTCCATATTATATGGCATATTTCGGGAACTGGCGAATCCTATCACCGTCATTTCAGCTGGGGCAATGTCAAAATCCTGAACCATGAAATTGCTTGTCCAGTAAGATAGCCTAGTTCGTCAGTCTGTCTGTACTCTGTAGACTGTCTAGTTTAATCGGATTTATTGATTAGGTAGATCACATTACTATTAACCAAAGATCATCGTATAAAGTATTGGCTTTGAACTTGCATTTTGACCTCAAACATGACGTTTGCCTACCAAACATGCTACCAAAGTAACGTAAATTCAATGTGTTGATTGGTTGCTAATTGATTATGACGTCACGTGAATTTTGTGACGTTAACCAATAAATTCAACTTCAAATCAAACGGCCTCTAATTCTTATTATTTTGTGTGCTAGGCTAAGGCTTTGTTAGTTAATTTGCAAGATGGCTTCAAAATTACCACTTGATGAATTGTATAAGAGGTTGAAAAGTGCTACAAACAGCAAATCTTTATTGAAAAAGAACCTTACTGAGGAAATTTTCAATCAATTGAAGGATAAGAAGAGCAAGTTTGGTAGTACTCTGGCAGATTGCATTCGTTCAGGTTTGTAATTGTTCAGCGTCATTGTCGGTTAAACCTTCTTGAGTGATGTTCTACGCTAAAATGACCTTTGTTTTCTTTTAATAGATCTAGATTTAGAAAAGTTCAAGTTATGTAGTGCTGAGTTTAGTTCAGTTCGTTATCTAGGCCTAATCAAGTAGATTAGGCTAGCCTATTGCCTGAAATGTTTTTTACTTTTTTGCCTAATCCAGCCTAATCCATTGACATCTTTTGATATTTCAGGATGTATGAACCCAGAGAGTGGTGTCGGAATCTATGCGTCTGATCCCGATGCATACACAACCTTCGCCCCAATCCTGGATGCCGTCATCAAGGATTACCATAAAGTTGATACTTTAAATCACCCACAACCAAACTTTGGTGATATTGCCAATCTTGGATTTGGGGATTTGGATCCTGGAAAGCAAATGATTGTATCCACCAGAGTCCGAGTAGGAAGAAGTCACGATAGCTTTGGATTCCCACCAGTTCTTACAAAAGAGGTACGTTATATTGAATAAAAGGCGTTTTTATACGCCCACATGGCGCTGACATGGAAATGTGGACGTATTTTGCTGTCCGTCAGTCTGTCAACATTTCTTGTGAACACAATAGGGACTACAGTTTTTATCTGATTTTAATGAAACTTGGTGGTATAATGTATATTGATGAGATCCTGGTCAAGTTCGAATTCGACGATCTTTCGATGAACGGTTTTTGAGTAATTGCCCTGGACTAAGGAAAAGCACGCCAAAATTTGACAAAATAGAAACTACAGTTTTCGACTGATTTTAATGAAATTTGGTGTGATCATTTATTGACGAGAACTTAAACAAGTTTTTGGTTTTTGAGTTATAGCTGTTGACTTAGATACAAAAAAAAATGCTTCAAAATTTGTTCATGAGCACAGACTACAGATATCATGTGATATTTATGAAATGTAATGTGATGATTTTTATTGATGATTGAATGAAATGAATGGAATTTTACGTCTTTTTATTCATTTCTTTTATTGTAGGACCGTGTTGATATGGAAAAAGTATCAAAAGAATGCTTAGCTAAATTGGAAGGTGATTTGGCTGGTGAATATTTCCCATTAACTGGTATGTCCAAAGAAACCCAGACAAAACTTACTGAAGATCATTTCCTCTTCAATGATAGTGATAGGTGAGAACTTGAATAATTCTTCAAAATTCTTAATAGGTTTTATGGAACCCAACTGCACTCTAGTCTAGATCTAATATGCAAATCGTTTACTATGGCATTTAAATGAGATTAGCTGTTCAGGGGTCGATAGTCTACAGGGTGACATTTACGAAGCGTAAGCAAAATGCATGCTAGTATTACGGTATTACCCAAGACGCTTATGACTTTCCGACGAGATTAAGCTGGATCCCAACACTCATTCAACGCCATTCGGCAAGGATGTGCTATGATATTTGAGCTGGTGGGCATTCCCAGATTTGCTGTTTTCTGAACATAAATAATTCATTCTTTCAGATTCTTACGTGAAGCTGGAGGCTATGATGACTGGCCTACTGGTCGTGGTATTTTCTTCAACAAAGCTAAAAACTTTTTAGTCTGGGTCAACGAAGAAGATCATCTCCGATTTATCTCTATGCAAATGGGAGGCGATTTGGGAGAAGTTTATTCCCGATTAGTTAAGGTTTGTATCTTCTAATGTGGATATGTTGCGTTCATTAACTACCCAAAATGCAAGACAGTGGAATAGAACCTGAGACCGCAATGTCTGCAAATACTTGTCAGGATCAATTCACGTAGTTTCACGATGTGCTTTACCATCTTGTCACGGTATGTCATTTGCAGGCAGGCAAAAATGAAATGAATTGTGAAGTTTACTTTTCTGCTCCATGTGGGCTATTGAAGAAATTAATAACGCGGTTGTGATTTATTTTCTATTCATATTCTGTATATTTTACAGGCTATTGGAGCTTTGGAAAAAAGTGGTTTGAAATTCGCCAAAAAGGACAACCTTGGTTATCTTACTTTCTGCCCAAGTAACTTGGGTACAACTCTCCGAGCTTCAGTACACATCAAAATCCCCAAGTTGGCTGCTTCACCAGATTTCAAAGAATTCTGTGACAAATACAACATCCAAGCCAGGGGTACGTATTTCTATCAAATGGTTTCCTTTTCTGATCAATGAGACTAGAGGGTGGTTCCAATTGAAATCAAACGACTGCGCTACAGAACCCCTAATAGCTAACCGTTAAATGTGTCATTTTTTTAAATGTAGGTATCCACGGTGAACATACTGAATCTGTTGGTGGTGTTTACGATATCTCCAACAAGAGAAGATTAGGTTTAACTGAAATCGATGCTCTCCAAGAAATGAGACGGGGTGTTGAAGCAGTCATTGCCCGAGAAAAGGAACTCGCTGGAAAATAAGTTCAACGTTTTCAGTTAGTTTCATTCTAAAAGAAACAGTATTGTTTTAAGCTAATCAGTAAACTTTGTAAATATAATCATGTGTTTTACTACACTTGTCCACAATTCCACTGGTCTCTTAACATAAAATTGGTTCAAATACTTCCCAATTGTAGAATTACATGCGAAGAACTGGCAAAAATTGTTAAATTATTTGTTTTGTTAACGAAGTTGTTTAGTTATTGATTAAAGAACAGAATGTAGTGTGTATAAAACCGTGAGTGTACATGTTAAAGTATATCTTTAGAACCACTTGTGATAAGCATTACCAATCCCTTTTGTTTTTTCTGAGATCCATGAATAAAATGTTTGAAAAAATTACTTTCTATTATTTCAACTCAATGCAACGTCTTGGGGGTGAAAACCGCTCCAAAGAGGTTTCCCCCTTTCATCACGAATGAAGACAGTGAGGATCAGATTTGCTACCTAGTATGACCCGATTTCAATAAAATATACTCGGCACCAGATTCAGTGGCGGTTAAATATTTCTCAACAGGGATTTGAATATCCACACAAACAGTATCAAACTGTCTACAGTGAGTTCAGCAAGCGTTCTGCAACGTGGTAATGAATGGCAAACATTATTTACCGAAACTATGTCCACGCGATTCTGATAAATAAGTCGTTCAGGATAAAAACCAAACCTAGTTATGGATCCAAAATGTAAGTAAAAATTGTACTGTAGGCTATCATTGCTAAACCGATAGTCACAATAAAATATCAAATGTATAATTTGAGTCAGAATAACTATTTTCTAGGGACTAGAGGCCCTATTCAGATCTCATATAGTATCACTTGACAAATTAATAATTGTGTTATGCCGGGAGTAAAGAGCCTCGCCCAAGGGACAAGGAACAATTTCGTCATATTACAGTAACACAATATCTTTAACATAACTATAACGAATGTACAAAGACAAACATAGAGGGATTTACAGCAACGGAAACGACAAATTTGGCCGATGTTGGCCTAATCATAAACTGAGTAATTTGAAATTCTGTTCACTAAATATACTTTGCAAAGTTCCATTAACTTATTAAAATACAATTCCATTTATAGCACACTCTAAATTTCTTGACATTTGAAGCTTTTAATTTAAAAATCGTTGAGCCTAAAATGGGGGTTTAAAGCACTAGAAATTCAAAAATAGGCCTACAAAATTAACCATCTATCAAACCGTTTTACCAGGAGGCGGTAATACATAACATGTTGACTCAATTGGTGAGATCTGTGCGTTCGGGATTCATGAAATCGACCACAAATAAAAACAATTTGGAATAGGGTTCAGAATGCGCTCCACTTGTGCCGAAAAAGTAGGTGTATATAGAAAGAATTCAAAATGGCGGTAAAAGAATAACGAATAGTCAATTTGAAATTGACACATCCGATTTTGTACAGTTCAATTGGGGCCAGAATTGGAACAGATAGAACCTGTTCAGAACTAACCAATCGAGCGCCACCTGAGATTGCGATTCGAAAACATTAGGCTTATAGTCTATTTACAATTTAAACAAAACCATTAAAGTCAAAGAGCTCGAACTGGAGCATCATCTATCTTAGTTGTAATTCCACGATTTCACCTTGTTTTCTTTCTTGGACGAACAGAAACATTTAGAGACAGCGATACACACGAAATCTATCAAGAGCTCTATGAATTCCAGTATAGAAATTACTGATAGTCCAACGAACAATCCCAACTGTCCTCCGATATTTGCAAGCAAATCTTCAATCTGAAACAGACAATGAAAGAACACAAACGAGCAAAAATGCAGCAAGAATGTCTGTCCCCGAACTACAAGACTTATATAACTTTCATTGACTGCTAAAACTGCTTCTTTTAATACGTTTATGATTTTTCAATAAAAATTTGACGTCCAGTTCTAGTCGAAAAGGAACTGCTTGATAATCTTTGGAATAGTAGCCTGTTTTTCAATATAGTACACGTTATATTAGCTAACGCCTGAACTGCGATTATTACACCTGACATCTCTACTTTTCCTTTTCTGATTTATTTTACTTACCTGGTATGTAGCTTTTGTAGCAACTGTTTGATAATTCAATTCTCGGTAAAATATGTCCACTTTTAATACATTGTCTCTGTAATTATAAATGAAAAAGAAAAGATTTTTCTTGCAACCCCTTGGTAAGCCTCTAGAAATCCAATCAAGATCAAAAAGTGATAAATGAATCTCACCTCATAAACAGACGTTTTTCGGTGTTATTTATATTTTGGAACTTTTCTTCCAAACTGGGATCCCTTTCTATCAACTTTTTAATGATTTCATCCTATAAAGAACAAAAATATAACTAATTTGATGCTTTAAGTTAAAAGATATTTTGTATGTAGCTGTAACTTGTAATCAGATTGTAACAATGACGCTATAATGAGCTGAAGGTAAAGTTCAAATTGGATTTGGATTTGGTTGTTACTATGGAGTCAGATAGACAGAAACAACAGTCAAATTGATATGTTACTATATATTCAGATTGAGTGTAACTATTCATTCAGATTAGGGTGTAACTATATATGCGGAGTCAGATTTGAGTGCAACTACGCAGTCAGATTTGGGGGAAACTATGACAGATTAACAGTTACAACAGTTAGAATAATACTTAACTACTGAGCCATGCCCCCCCCCCCTTTCAATTTTTAACCATTTATATATCCCCACCCCCTTAAAAATTGTGTGGCCCCTGCTAGACTGTGGCCCCCATCAAAATTTTATGGCCCCTGCTTGCCCCCCTCGTCTGATGATTCCTAGAAACGCCACTGATATAGTGAGGTGTAACTATAAAACCAAATTAAGGTGTAACTATATGAAACCATATTGAGGTGCAAATATGGTGTTACAGAAGAGTCAGATTGAAATGGTAGCCACGCAGTCAGATTGGAGTGTTACTATGGAATCATAATGAGGTGTAACTATTGAACCATATTGTTGTAAACTGAGGCATAGCAATAGAGTTTGTGATGGAAGTCCGATATATGTGCTACTTCAGTTTTATCGAGGTGAAACCATGGAAAACGAAGTCAGATTGAGTCTAGCTGAGCTGTAATCAAAGTCAGGCAAAAAAACGTAATTACTTTCATAGTCTAAAGTATGATCAATGTAATTCAAGAGTTATTTCCCATTCATAACTACAATTTCCAGTAAAATATTGTTTAGCATTTATCTTACCATAACAGGATCGGCTGGCCATAAAGATGACGACAGCTGAGATGGAAATTGGCGCTCCCTGAAACAAGAAAATCACGCTAGGCCTAAAGGGTCAATTAGTAGTGCTATATTATTTATACCTTGTTGGACAATTCAGTTCTTATAACAGAATACTGTTTTCTTTAATTAAGGCTCGCGTGTTCAGGTATAGTGATACATTACTTATCATGATCATAAACTTTTCCTTTGATGTTATCGTGTTTTATATAGGCTACATGAAGATGTGAGGTGCTAAGATTTTTCTAGAATAATTAGATAAATTGTGGGTGGTCTCGAAAAAAGCTGCCTTAGTGCAAAGATCTTCATATACACCAGAGGACCTCTTCAGGTCAGTTCAAGTTCATTAAACTAATATTCACAAGACCGTACAGCCCCAAGTAACCTTTAAGTAAGTTACATAACCTTGCAACTATCATGTTCCTTCAGCAACGAGATAAGACATTTATCACATCTAACCGTTGCATTCACAAGACGATATTCTTGTCATTAACTTTCAACTTCATTACTTACCTGCATCGTGGTTTACAGATATTAGAACAATCTAAATCATCATTAACATATTTATTCTCCACATCAGTGATACATTTACCTTTTAAAATACCATAAAAAATCATTTAACGATCGAAAATGGAAATTATTGGGATCATAATTATATATTATTTTCACTTTTCTTTTTTGTTGTCCTTCTGCACGATCCTTTTTTTACCAAGATGAACTATTATCCAATTTTTATTAAAACTGGAAATATTCTCCATTAACCCTTCCTTTACGCATCACTTTCCATTTGGACGCGGTATTATTACACTGTTATGGTAACAAATCTAGTACACAATGCTGACTTACTTGTGATATTCGATGAGAGTTGACAATAACCATTATTTTCATCATAATTCACATAAGAAGAATTTATAGCACGACCAATACATGGGTAATACGGATAACAACATCTACAATTCTTTATAACGTTATTTTGGAAACACGTCTTATAACATGCCTGCAAAGTGACAAAGTTTATTAATGTACATAGTTGGAATAAAAGTCCTTGATATAATCAAATAAAACAGGCGTCTTCATTATTTTCTAAAAAGCCTACATAACTTCCCCTTTATTTTCTGTTTCAATTGGTACTAGGGGTCCCACGAGGTGACCACAAAAACCATGCTGACTCTACAAAATGTTTCCTCAGTGTAAATTTCGGGGACTATTTTAATGAATGGAATATTTATGTATAAGATATATAATGACCGAGGACGAATTTTTACCGAGTATAGAAAAATCAAGAAAGAGAATTTGGTCCGGCTTTTCTTTCATTAATGTAAAATGAACTCTTTGTCTGTATGTTTCAGCGATTGTCTGCATATAGAAACGATTGAATAAAAATCAGATGAATAATTAATAGTAATATTGTGTTTTATCATATAATGTCATATTGTTTATATTCTAAAGAATCAATGATATAACCCGTATATTAATCAAATTATAAAGTTAATGAGTATCTTGTTGTTATGTTGATAACCATAATAACTGATGGGAAGGTTTTTCCACAAATTCTTTCACTCTTATTGCTCGTCACCATATGAATTTACTCAGACCATTCACAGAAGTTTCAGAAACAATTAAGAAATCATTTTAACACCTATTATCTGTAACCATTATATATATACTTACCTCCTCAGTATACCCTACTCTTAAATCCTTTTCTTCTGAATAAACATTAACAGCAATATTCTCATCATCAGTATAAGCATGACAACTACCATGAGGTGGTGATGGTCTTTCAATCTCAGTCTGAAATGTGTCCAAAGTAACGCAGATTAAAATTACAGGTCATTATTTTGAGCTCATATTCTCCGTGCAATCTGTTCATATGTCAGGACCTCCTTATGCTGTTGTAAATTGCTAAATGTTAATTTGGTCTATATCATCCTTGCCATTATGTGTACTTCGCATACAATGCATTAATACCACTCTCGATCGCATTCACTGTTACACAGCAATCCTGCAATAACAGATAGCGATGGCTGAACTACATATTGCTCTTTATACAGCTTGTCGAGAATAGATCTTTACCATTGCTATAGCGACTGATGCCTTTGTTCCAGGTTGAAGTTCTATACCCCTGTCTACAAGAAAAGGCATGTAACTTTGATTATGCATCATGATCTTTACACCAGCTGACGGTGCCAGGGTTGACAGATATTCAGATTGTTGTACATACAGTTCCAAACTCAAACCTAAAAGATATAAAAATAGAAGAGTTTATGGTAAGTATCGCGACCATAAATGAGAATATTTGTTCAACTCAGCATTCGGTCATTTAGTCAACATTTTATTTCATATGGTATAGTTTAGTTTTGCCTTTTGAGATAATACGTACCATAGGTTGGTCCTGTTTTTCTTGATTCCTCATACGATTTATTCAATCCCGAATTAAAGGTATAACAATTACCGTACTTTGGATCAGAAACGTACGAAAAGTCTCTGAAAGCAAACAAAAAACAGTTTCAACCGAAACGGTTGAGGTGATCATCAGTTGTTTTTTCTAGAAAGTTCAGTTATTTGTTTCATTAAATGGAACCTCGTTCGGTTTGCACTGAAGTTGAAACGAATGGACGTAAGAAGCATTACGGGCATTCTGGTCATTATTGATATCCCCTATACTAAAGTTATGCTACCGATATCTGGTGATATAACTAGTGAACAATCACAACCTCTGAGAATTAATTTACATGGAGACATCAAGATAACTTTAATAGAAACAGTGATCTGAAAATAGCATTCCTTTATAATAAAGCTTTCAATATATTAATAGCTTTAGAGTGAAACAATCCGTAAACGACGGGTAAAAATTAAAGTAATATTCCTATCAAATATGGATTCTTTGTGAAATTGATGGCTTCCGTCATACAGGACACATTCCGTTTATCATTATTAGCAAAAAACTCACTTTTCTGTACAAACAAAACCAGCAAAGGTACATTTCAGCAGCATAGTCTTTAGATGATGGCCCATTGCTTTCCTTAACTCAGCATCTGTACTACTATACAAAGTAACAAAATCTTCTTCGCCTTGAAGTGCATTACTTTTAGTTCCCAGGACTTCATTTGTACCCAAAATACCATTAGTGATATTGGTTAGTGCGTCAGTTAGATCACCCAGAATTGGTATGGATAAATCGTTATCGGTATTTGGACCAGGTGACAAAATATTATTTACACCATCCAGCACATTACCAACTAGACCTCCTCCATTATTATCGCCACCAATCAGATTACCTAAAAGATTTTGACGTGGCGTTGTGGTTGTTTTTTTGGTAGTTGTTGTTGTCTGAATGGTTGTTTCTGTAGTGGGGGCTGACTGTTGTTCATGTGTCTCTCTAGAACTCCTTGACTAAAATAAATTCACCCGATTGTAAGTATTCTTGCTCACTAACTTAAACATGAACCGACATGAAACAACCAATGAAAACGTGAAACGACCAGGAACATGGCGGGAAAATGACAGAAAACGATCTCAAACTATTTTGCTATAAATTCTAAGCAGGTTATTTAGGCCAAACAAGTAATTGATTTTAAAAAAACTATGCATTCGGGAGAAGTGCACTCAATGACTGTCAAAATCATGAAAAATTAATGTGACCCCTTTTTTGATGTTTTTAATTACCCTTATGTCCATTATTATTTTCCTGTTTCTTCTTTTTAACATACGTGTAAGCTCTTTCTTGAAGAAATTTAGGGGAATAAGGCTACCGTTCATAATTTTTGCTACTGGTATTATGTCTCTAAGGCAAAATTTAACATATTTGTCTCTTTAAACTTCACGACAATACTACAAAACAAAATTGTTACAATGTATTAACGATGTAATATATCAAACTAAATTAGGTGTGGGTTATGTGCAGATACATATCACAGGCAAAATGCACTTAACTGGGAAATAATAATGAAAGGCTTCTCCCAATAATAGGTCAATAAAGTGCACTTTTCCCAAATGCACATTTTCTTAAAATTAAGTTCATGTTCGGCCTGATTAGCATGCTCAGATTTCATCGGAAAATAGTTTCAGGTTGTTTCCTGTCGTTTTCCTGCTCGGTTCCTGGTGATTTCGTTGGTATAGTTTCTGGTAGGTTCGTGTCAGTTCATGTTTTAGTGTACGGTAACAATGTCTCAGTTAACTGCGGCCTATGTCGTATGCTGTATGATTCCTCATGTTGGTTTTTGATGTCGGATCTTATTACAGACCCATAAAATCAAGATCTTTAACTATAACTTGTCATCGCCATACGAATACCAAATCTCCTACTGAACAATGTTGGACTAAAATACGCTCTATAGTCACCATGGTTTATTATTGGAAGTAAGAAATCGTTCTTTAAAGAATTTTAACTTTTATGAACGCTTCTTTTCTTTATAAATACCTGTTCTTCGTACTGACTGCTGAAATTTGGACTCATTACCAACCCACTGTGTCTGATAGGGTTCAAATTACAAATAGTCACGGCTGGATATCTTAATTTAGTGGTAAATGTCATGGAAACTTCTGTATTTGTTGGGAGAGAATAATATTTTAATACTATTTCTAAAATTTGCCATGAGGTACAACCTAAAAAAAAAAGATTATATATAGCATGTTTGGCTCATTGGTTAGCTGATAATAAAATAAAACTAAGCACAGACCATTAGGTTCCGAAAATTCATTTCATCTCAAGAAAGTGTATATTTATTGTAAATATATAAAGATTGTACCCTATGACTCTACAAACCAATAGAGGTCACTTCATGTATTCTTAAGGAAAATATACTAAAATGACACATATCAATTATAAAACATTACACTTCTCTGCAAAACTATAAATAAGAAAGGATTATAGAACGACCTCAAAATCGAATTGTATAATAAACCGACCTACCTAGACCGCCCAACACTAAAACAACCCAAATAAAACGTTTGAAATGACTTTTTGCTCTAAAAGCATTAGGTAAGCCAGCTACACTACAATTTTCCACATAATCCGAACCACGGTTTGATAAAGTCTTCATTTCTGAAAAAAATGTATCATTGTCATAAAAAAAAGTTAAATACAGATGGGTAAACAAAATCTGTTCTCTCAGTAAATTTATATTATAAGGTATGGAATATTTAGTTTTTTTGTCAGATAAATTATATATTACATGTTGTGTTTTGTTATTCTAAAATACACGATAATATATAAATACAATTTGCGTTTCTTGACATAAAATACACATTATTTTTTTGTTGAGATGAAATACACGCTATTATCATAAAATACGTTTTTGATGTTAAGATAAAATACAAGTTGTGTTTCTTGAGATAAATTACCAGATATTGTTGTTGAGATGAAATACATGTTATTGTTGTTAAGATAAAATACACGTTATTGTGTATTAAGATAAAACACAAGTTGTGTTTCTTGAGATAAATTACCAGATATTGTTGTTGAGATGAAATACATGTTATTGTTGTTAAGATAAAATACACGTTATTGTGTATTAAGATAAAACACAAGTTGTGTTTCTTGAGATAAATTACCAGATATTGTTGTTGAGATGAAATACATGTTATTGTTGTTAAGATAAAATACACGTTATTGTATATTAAGATAAAACACAAGTTGTTTTTCTTGAGATAAATTACCAGATATTGCTGTTGGGATGAAATACATGTTATTTTTGTTGAGATAAATGCAAGTTGTGGACATTAAATACACGTTATTATGGTTGAGATAAAATTCAAGTTACTGTTGTTGAGATGAATACAAGATATTGTTGTTGGGATTAAGTACAAGTTACCGTTGCTGAAACAAATACAAGATATTGTTGTTGGGATTAAATGAAATTTATTGTTGTTGAGATTAAGTTGCAAGCTACTGTTGTTGAGATAAATTTAAGTTATTGTTGTAGATATAAAATACACGTTATTATTGTTGAGATAAATACAAGATATTGTTGTTTGGATTAAATACAATTTATTGTTGTTGGGATTGAATACAAGTTTTTGTTGTTGAGATTAAATAAAATTGGGATTAAATACAAGTTACTGTTGTTGGGATTAAATACATGATATTGTTGTTTGGATTAAATACAATTTATTGTTGTTGGGATTGAAAATAAGTTTTTGTTATTGAGATTAAATAAAACTGAGATTAAATACAAGTTACTGTTGTTGGGATTAAATACAATTTATTGTTGTTGGGATTAAATACAAGTTATTGTTGTTGGGATTAAATACATGATATTGTTGTTTGGATTAAATACAATTTATTGTTGTTGGGATTGAATACAAGTTTTTGTTATTGAGATTAAATAAAACTGGGATTGAATACAAGTTACTGTTGTTGGGATTAAATACAATTTATTGTTGTTGGGATTAAGTACAAGTTATTGTTGTTGGGATTAAGTACAAGTTATTGTTGTCAGGATTAAATGCAAGTTATTGTTGTTGAGATTAAATACAATTTATTGCTCTTGAGGTAAAAATACATGTTATTATTGTTGAGATAAAATACACGTTATTATTGTTAATATTAAGTGCAAGTTGTGTTTGTTGAGATAACATACAAGTCATGTTTGTTGAGATTAAATGCACATTATTAAAAATTGTTGTTGAGATAAAATACACGTTATTGTTGAGATAAATACACGTTAATTTTGTTGAGACAAACTACAAGTTGTGTTTATTGAGATAAAATACAAGTTATGTTTGTTTGAGTTAAAGGGTGTCTGTCGAGATAAGATATTATGTTGTTTAAGATAAATTATGCTGGTTGATTTACGTTGTATAGAGAAATTATGTCTGGAGAAATAAGTTCTATATACTAGAATAATTTTGTTTCTGGGGTAAAAATTATTTCTTCAAATAAATACGTTTACAAAGATAAATTACATTTGTTGAAATATAATATGTTTGTGTATATTGTATTTATAGATAACGTGAGCTTTGTTCATGTAGAAGATAAGATATGCTTGTGTAGATTTATGTTTGTAAAAAAGCACTGGCACGATGTTTCGTATTTGTGGCCAGTAGGCATCTCTGTATAAATATGTTTAGATTGATTCGGAACAAAGAATTATACGTCTCTTGGCAATCTGAATTATTTACAATTTATTATGAGTAAATAAAGAATAATAATTGTTTCTAGTCTCAGTTGGTTCATTTATTTTAATTAACCCATTGCACTCATCAATCGAGCGGAAAAGTTATTAACTTTGGCACGAAAACTATATCGAACTTTTTATGACCGTTACACCGATTTATCATTTTTACCTGATTATAATTGTTTTTAAGAATTCAGAGAAATAATCATTTTACACTCTAATCTGTTCTGTACGTGATAAGTTTAGAAATAAAAGTAATTTGTGACCACACAAGGTTCATTAAGCAACATTTTCAATATTAATTAACTGTATTCTGACAATTAATCCACTTAAAATGTAAATGATTCCTTATACAAATGTACTTTCCGGTTATATTTCTTATCTCTAAAGAAGGCCATGTCTGTGTCCGGCTTTTCGAGAAGATATTGTGGATCATATACTAATTCGCTCATTACGGTTGGTAAAACGAGACACCATCACAAATTTTCAGGAAAATCGGTTGAAGACGCACAGCATATTTTCAAAGCAGTACGTTCAAATTTAAAAAACAAAAAGGTATTCATTTAAACTAAATTTTACGAAACTTAGATGAAAATTAAAAGAGTTATAGATTTTTCAGTACTCAAAGTCAAGTGCTATACAATTATATGAGAAATGTTATGTTGAAAATATTGGTATATTCAATTTGAATAGGATTTTCAACATAAAAGAGGATACTGTGAATTTTTTTGGCGGAAGCACAATATTTGATGGGAAAAAATGAAAACTTTAACAGAAGCTATCAGCGCAAAAATAATTAATAAGTAAAAAAAATGTGGGTAAGAAACACGTTAAATTTTGATTTAAAACAGGATAAAATTGAAGACATTGCCAAAAATAGGTATATACTATTCGCTCAGGAAAGTTAAAAAGACCAGTCGTCTTTTCTTGAGACTCTGACATATATATAAAAGGACATCGAAAGAAAGAGGAAAGGAAATTCCAATATTTTCGAAGGAATTATGCTATTTTCGTACATTTCTAGTACTTCTGATTAAGACTATTTACACAAACTCGCGACTCAAATCACCCTCCAAAATGCGAGCCTGTCAATCGTAATTGATCTGCAGTTATTTATTTGCATAATTCTTTTTGTATTATAACGAGACATAATAAAGATGTTTATTATAATCCTATGAACCCTATTAAGAAATCGAAAATTTCAAAAAATTATATCAGATATATTTCCCGTGATCTTCGATACGTGTTAATATTTTAGCTCGTATATATGCACCACTACAGAAAGCACAATTTTTCACAGATTTAGAGGAAAATTGGTGAAATTGTTTATCATCACCCAAGAATGAACACCATCGAAAATATAAATACATTAAGTTTGAGTTATTGCTCTTGTTCTCCGAACAACTTCGTGTTTTATTCTTAGCTATTGACAGACATAAACGAAACTAATGAAAAAAAAAATAGGAAAATATTTATGAGTTATTGTCATCGTTCTTCCAATACGTTCAAACCTTTAGCTGGTATACAACCTACATGGTAAGCTACAATTCTTCGGGAAACTTTGTGAAATTTAATATTTTTGAAAGATGCAACTTGGCGTATATTACCTTGCTATAACCTTTTACAATAAATACAAAACTATACTTGCTTCTTAAGAAACTATCCTCATTCTTCTGCCATAACATTCTTTAGCATCGAAGATCCGACGGATATTTGCTGTTTTCAGGTCCTAATACACAAACAAGTTATTGATCTGCTATAACAAGTAGGTATTATATTATAATTTCACCGTTACAAATTACGAACATCATGTGTGGGTGTTTTTATCAAGTCAGATATATCTTAATTACGTTGCATAAATCTGTTTTACACTAAGCATAAAAACTGTGCATTGCTTAAAAATTCAAACAAATAATCTTTTGCACTCAGCAAACCCATTTCTATCCTTTTCATAAATATTTCAAATTTATTCTTATTCAATTTAACCGATGGACCAAAAAAAAAAAATTAACTGTTCGGTGAAAAATATTCCAGAAAGATTTCAGAACAAAAGTTAGTCGTGTAGCCATTAGCTTAATCTGAAACGAAGCAATTCTTTCAAGTAATAAGGTAATATTAGGAGTTCTAAATCTCAAACAATAAGCTGCTTTTTAGAAATAGAGTTTACAAGGGGTTAAAACCTTTAACCAATTGATATATTGAGCTCGAAAGACTTTTAGATAAAGTGAGGTAACATTGTTTTTTGAACTAATTATTTTCACTTCTGGCTGAATGACATTTAAGATTGATCACTACAAAATTGAAAATATCATTATTTTGGGATTAAAATGAATGATGATGTGCCAATTCTATTCCCAAATACAAAAATGTACGCGTGGAGGACAGGATTATTGATGACATGTTTTATAGTTACACACTAATAACAATTATCAACGTCAAAAAACAAAACATGAAACACTATAAAATATTAAGTTGAATTTTAGTACTTATAAAATCTTTTTTCAAGGAGAAGAATGATCAGTTGATATTTTGTTTTGACCAGGAACCTATCCTTTCCATCGCGTAACTCACAGATAAAAGCAGATCACTTCAATATTGTGCTATTGTATGATTTATGGGACAAAGGAGTGTGAATTAAATTAAAGAGTAATTAACGATGGCAAAATTTTATAATGTTTATTTCATATTGTGATATTTCTCCATAAAACTTGTCCTAATATACATATTTTATCAAAATTGATTAAGCTTTGCCTGCAGGCCCAATAGAGAAACTAATGAGGGTAAAAACAAGACACAGTGTTGTATATTCATCAATTATTTCTCATTCTTGTATCACACTTTCTACCTTTACAAATCACAATTCTTTCAAGTAAAAGCAACTATTTCCTTCATTAAATGACAAACTTGTTTTCTTTATAAAAAGAATATTTAAAGTGAAAAAGTTTTTATCTCAAATTAAGCATCGTCAAGCAATTAATGATAAATTCCATCTGTCGTGTGATCCGTTACGAACAGATTCATTGATCATTGAAAATCTCAGGTTGGGCTGATACTATATTTGTTTCGCTCGTATGCGCTTTGTTCACAGTTTCAGGCTTCACGTCACTCTGATCTTCCGTTCAGAAAGTCTGAGATTTTGTCTGACATGATTACGTCGATCGAATTATCGAGGTATCATATGGTATTTTGACCAATTGAAGAATTGATCTTAAACGATAGAATACGATTGCGATTGTGATCCAGTGTGACCTTGATCACCACGATGTGGATGTACTATTAGTTGCGACCCACCGCGAGTTGTTGCGTTGTATCTGATACGATGATCTGGAAAGTTAATTGATCGTTGAACCGTTGAACGATTGCAATGTCATACACGCCATCAGAAGCAACTATATACATATACATGCATCTTGAGCAATTATAATGCAACCATTGATGTAAGGTTACCACTATTAAGCAATCGGTTGAACATATAAAATAACCAACAAAATGAAACTCCAGAAAGCTTTGTTGATCTATTTTTGAAGACCACTATCGATCGTCATCATGATAACACTCCAAATCTGCTAGGAACACCCCAGTTTAATTTTCAGCGCACGAAATAGTTTTGCGAACTGCGATATGGTTGGAAAATTTCAGTACCTTTCTGTTTTTAAGTCCAACCTGATGAACTTGATTATTTCATGTTTATTGTACTTAAATATCACCTCACCATTTATTAATCAGACCAAAGATAATTATATCTTTTAATAAAGGATTGGTAAGAAACCCATGATAAATTGAGAAAAAAAGATCATCTCCTCAGACCATCAGCATGAGATTAATCTCTGATTTACGCTGCTACACTTGGTACCATTGATAAATAATTCATTCTATTACTGTATTATAGATAATATGATTAGCCAATATACAATAATAATAGTCCAACGGTTGGGAGTTGAGTTCAGTAAGTTGATCCATTGACATTTTGATTGTGATCACTGTTAACTTCGCAAACCATTTTCATTGAATTACATAAAATTTAAATAGGCCTACCATTAAACGTTTCAAACAAAAAAAGAATGCTAATTCCCCTCTCTTTGAGTCAATACTAATGCTAATATATTTTGAAATAGTGCAATCGGTAATTTCACAGTATTTATGGATTTAAATCACCAAATAATTTAAATAAAATTGAGTACGGCTCAAGACTGATTTTTGAAGATTCAAGTCGACGGACGCAATAATTAATATTTGCGATAGGCCTATAAACATATGTTTCTCCATTATGGTTCGGCAAAAATCTTTTAATAGAGTCGTAATCGTGAAGGGAGACAATATTTATCTGTTATACCATTTCGGTCACGTTCTTCGGTTAAGTGATACTAATTGAATATTAACTCAACTCCATTCTGAAAAGTGACCGGGGTATATAACTAAAATTTGGTTCTGTCTGGAAGGGAATTTCAAAACTTGAGTTTAAATATTTCAGGACTTTATATTTTATTTTAACTATGGAACTTTCCCAAAAATTATTGTACACGAAAAACAATTTTTTCAAATTTGATATTTTAGCAGTGTAAAGTTTTGTCCTAATCCACAATTTCAACATCTATATCCCTTTAAAGCTGTACCAATTGTATGTAGCTCGAAATGTTTGCTCTGATCCGCATGTCGATTGCAATCAAATTTGATGATTCGATGATCAAATGAAGTGTATAGTATTGGCAAAGGCTAATAGCACATACTCTATATTAATTTATATCTTCCGATATATGAATAAGAATAAAGAGAAATATAACATTTTTAAAAGAGAACCTGACAAAAAGATGGTATGTCTATGGGTTAATAATGTGCACATTATGTTAATATCGATTGTCCAGAAATTATTATAGTAAATTTGCAAACGATATTACCATTTTAGATATTAGATATTTTTTGAATGGTTGAAAGAGATTTTCTGGTTTTTTTTTATGATATCGGGGTAATTATTGATAACTATTTACATTGTTCCTTAATAGCCGTCAGTGTTTTAGATTACTGTAATTATAGCAATGCGTAACCGTAATGAGGCATGGTAAGACCAGAAGATCTTTTGACTGAAAATAAATCGATGCCCCCGATACACATAAAAAGTTTAGAAAACCGCTTTATAAGTCAAAAAGTAAAGTTGCAAAACTTTTCTAATATAAGACTCTTATCTTCTAATTCTCATAGAATAATACTATAATCGCCTTTTTATAAGCCCACATGAAATGGGGGGCGTATATTGTCGTCACCCATGTCCGTCGGTCCGTCGGTCCGTCCGTTACAATTGCTCGTAAACACTCTACAAGGCACAATTCTTGACCGACGAAACTCGGTATGGTTGTAATCACCCAAGGATGAACCTTATTGAAAATCAGAAAAATCGAAAAATATTTAATATGAGTTATTGCCCTTGTTTTTGAAGTGCTCGTAAACACTCTAGAAGGTGCAATTCTTGACGGATTTTGATGAAACTTAGTGAGAGTGTTTGTTATCACCCAAGGATGAAGCCTATTTAAAATCAGAAAGATCTAAAAATAATTAGTATGAGTTATTGCCCTTGTTCTTGAAAAAGCGTTCAATTTTAGCTTGTAAACACTCTAAAAGGCACAATTCTTGACGGATTTTGACGAAACTTGGTGTGAGTGTTTGTAATCACCCAAGGATAAATCCTAGCGAAAATCAGAACAATTGAAAAATATTTAGTATGAGTTATTGCCCTTGTTCTTGAAACAGTAAACAAGAAACAGTCTAGAAGGCCCAATTCTTGACAGATTTTGATAATATTATTCAGTATCGCCTCAAAAAGTTCAAAAGAAGTCCAGTCTGAAGGTTGAATATTTCATACTAGTAATTTTTACTGTACGGCCAAATATTTTTATTTAAAAGCAAAGCTGCCAGTAGGCGTATATTACCTTGCCTGGCAAGCTATCTTTCCAAACAAAGGCAATCAGTTTCTCTTACCTGTATCTCTCTTCTTAATTCAAAATTCAATATTGCAACATAATAATCATATCATCGACTTGTTTCTTTGAGTACTTAAAATAATATATGAACTGTATACTTACCTATGAAAGTTTACATTCACTAAAAATTTGCATGCATTAATTGAAAAACAACGATACACACGCGACGAATTAAATCAAAACTATGATTTATACGATATATTTGCATCTTATAAAACAATACAGAGTCAGAAAAATAGATTTCTTTTCACCAAGTTTCGAAACAATATCACATAACTTATATCATAGAGAAACCAATACTATCGTCCCAAGAGACCGCGTTTTTTTTTTTTAAATTTCAAGATGATTCTATTCACCTCGGATTAAAAGATTTACAAAATCGGTTAAGAGTTTTTTGTAATCATTGTTACTCTTATGACGTTCCCAACTAATTAACAGTAACACACTAACCAAGATATTTGCAACACTGTTTCCCTACGTGGTCATACCATTGATTATTGGTAGAGCCCATTTAGTTCTTAACCGTGGTGACATTGTTTTCCAGAAATTATGTAACATACAAGTGAAATACGCAAAATCTTATTAATTAGGTAAATCACATTGAACATATCTAAGGCTATATCAGTTATTTGGATGAATCACCTGAGTAATTTATATTGATGCAGCTAATTAAATACATAAACTTTTCAATTTTGCCCTTTTAATAAGAAAATTACTTACCTGTGCTAGTAAAGGTAAGCTCAAGACGCGATATAATCCATTAAGTAACAGTAAGGCAATAATAATGATTCAGAAAGAAAACAAAAGGAACACTATCTGAACATATGTTGCCATGTGATATTAAAAAATCACTGATATTATGGACCCTCGATTTATATTTTATAAACTATTATGTTAAACATATTTTTTTTTCTATTCTCTGAGGCAGTATGTCAATAGTGTTGATTTTCTAGTATCCTACCTAATTCATGTCTCGCATTGTGTTTTAGCATTCAAATAGTAAAAGTTTTTAGGTATCATTAAATTATTGACAAGGCTGGATTTTGTTGAAATTAGGTATATTTTTTTTAGCTGTCAAGAAGTAATTAACATAATCATGTACAGATGTATTTTTATTATTGTCTATACTATATACAGGGGCACTTTTATTGCAGTCTATATTATATACAGGGGCACTTTTATTACTGTCTATATACAGGGGTAGTTTTATTACTGTCTATATACAGGGGCACTTTTATTACTGTCTATATACAGGGGTAGTTTTATTACTGTCTATATTATATACAGGGGTAGTTTTATTACTGTCTATATTATATACAGGGGTAGTTTTATTACTGTCTATATTATATACAGGGGTAGTTTTATTACTGTCTATATTATATACAGGGGTAGTTTTATTATTGTCTAGACTATATACAGGGGCACTTTTATTGCAGTCTATATTATATACAGGGGCACTTTTATTACTGTCTATATACAGGGGTAGTTTTATTACTGTCTATATACAGGGGCACTTTTATTACTGTCTATATTATATACAGGGGCACTTTTATTACTGTCTATATATAGGGGTAGTTTTATTACTGTCTATATTATATACAGGGGTAGTTTTATTACTGTCTATATAATATATTACTGTCTATATACAGGGGCACTTTTATTACTGTCTATATTATATACAGGGGCCTTTTATTACTGTCTACATACAGGGGTAGTTTTATTACTGTCTATATTATATATTACTGTCTTTATACAGAGGCACTTTTATTACTGTCTATATTATATACAGGGATGATAGTTTTATTACTGTCTATATTATATACAGGGATGATAGTTTTATTACCGTCTATATTATATACAGGGGTAGTTTTATTACTGTCTATATTATATATAGGGGTAGTTTTATCATGTCTACATACAGGGGTAGTTTTATTACTGTCTATATTATATACAGGGGTAGTTTTATTACTGCCTATATTATATACAGGGGTAGTTTTATTACTGTCTATATTATATACAGGGGTAGTTTTATTACTGTCTATATTATATACAGTGGTAGTTTTATTACTGTCTATATTATATACAGGGGTAGTTTTATTACTGTCTATATTATATACAGGGGTAGTTTTATTACTGTCTATATTATATACAGGGGTAGTTTTATTACTGTCTATATTATATACAGGGGTAGTTTTATTACTGTCTATATTATATACAGGGGTAGTTTTATTACTGTCTATATTATATACAGGGATAGTTTTATTACCGTCTATATTATATACAGGGGTAGTGTTATTACTGTCTATATTATATACAGGGATAGTTTTATTACTTTCTATATTATATACAGGGGTAGTTTTATTACTGTCTATATTATATACAGGGGTAGTTTTATTACTGTCTATATTATATACAGGGGTAGTTTTATTACTGTCTATATTATATACAGGGATATTTTGATTTTCAAACCCATCTATTCTCCATTTCAGATCTAATGTAATCCCGCGTGAGGCCTCATGGTGAACAATCCTTCTGGAAAAGAAATTGGTTACAGGAAGTAGAATAGTAACCTATTTTTAAGATTAACTTGGTCATACTAAAAAGTTGATGATCAAGCTGGACGAAATTATTTATCGCGTGATCATGAGCGTAAAAAACATCTTTTGTGTCCGTTCAAAGATAAATTGACACTAAATAATTAATCATTCTCTAGTGTCCAGAAGTAAATGTAAAAGAATAATATAACGACTATACGGGGTACAGACAATATAGGACTATCAATGATTCCGTGTTATCAAATCAATTAGGCCAGACCAACAAAACTTATTGTTTGATTATTATAAATATATATTATCCTATGTGTATATATAGCAAGGCTAATGACCGATAATATAATAATAGTTGAAGTTTAACATGCCCTCTTGTTAGATTTATCAAAGTTACTAAAATTGAGTCTAAATTGATCCAAGGCTTATTTTGGATGTAAGCCTGTATAGTTTCACCTTATAACATTCCGAAATACACATTGTACAATTCATGTGGCCTAATGTTCACAAGTCATTGGACATTAATTAATTTCAACTAATTGAAATTATCAAGGGAAAAACTACGCTGCGAAAAATATTAATCTTAGTCGTGAAAGTTTAATCAGACGAGCAAAAATTCTACAGATCAGCGGAATACCACAAACAAAAGTTTCTAAAGTTCAAGTTTGTTAGTACGAATCCGGTCAGTTAATGATTTAATGTCATACCTGGCGTTATGACAACAACCCCCTTCCCAGGACACCTCTTTTCCTTTATATTTAGTTTCAGGCAGTAGTAAATTCCAGAAGACGACTAAAATAAATCGATGTACGTCGCAAAAAAAAGTTAGGCCTATTATCTACCGACCAAAACATCAATTCAAACTTCCCTAACTATGTTAACATACAAACGTACTCGCATTTATACGAATGGATTATAATTTTAATCAACGACTTGTACTTGTTTTGCAGGCATTTCCGGTCTAAACAAACTATTTCTTATCATCAGTTGCAAGATGGCTTTACCCAGTTCTATTAATCAACAAATATAGCCATAACCATATTTCATTGGATAAAAAGGAACATTTACACAATATGACTAATGACTGAACAATCGCTCATTAACATCCATTGAATAAAATAGGGTCATACAGGGAAATAAAAAGAAGTCTGTATTTGAAGTGTATTATAAATGAGCGAGCTCTTCGTATGGTGTGCCTCTGGTATCACAGATGTGTCTGCTCTTCATGGTCCATTGTGAAATCTTCATTACCTAAAGAGAAATAATGAATATAGCAAATTTATATGTCAATATATATATCAAAATAAACGTTTTTTTATATTAGCTATGTGCTGTCGAGTTGACAAACCCATTGGCAGAGTAGAATCAGTTGTTCAGGGTGTTGAGTATGCCTCGTCACTGTTTCTACCCACAGCAGTACCTTATTGTAACTAACTACACTAATGAAAAAAGATTAGTGTTGTTCTTCCTTTCTCACCTACTTTTGATGTTTTTTTTTTTGCTTGATAAAGGGATTAGTCTGGAAACGTAGCCACATTTACTTTAATTGTATCGACTTTTTACCTACTGTGCGCTCGCTATCGTGTGATTTAAATTTGACCACAGAAAATATCAATTGAATAGTTCCAAACATTTTTTTTTGCTGAGTAAAAATACAATGTACATATTAGGAATTTGCGTGCTGGGGCTCATCTTGTTAAGTTATTACTTATACGTATGGGAATTAAACCACCAATTCATAGACTAAATCTGCATCTCTCATTTATGCAATATAGCTTTAAGTATTGTCTTCAAATTGATTTTCATTAAACTAATTTCTACAGGGATACAACCACCTTTCATTTGTACTTTAACGAGTTATATAGAACAGATTCATCTTCTGTTTTCTCGTTTTTCGGACCCTTCTCCCTAGTTTTAGTTTGCACCAATTGAACATCCCATTGAATACGAGTCCGTTGCGTTCGATCTGAATGAAATGTTCATATCAAGAACTTGGACGAATTCTGTCTTTGGCGATTGACATTAATTTCATACCAGGTCGACGCCCAGATTAGATTTTTACTTATAAGTACAACACAAGCAAATACGACAACTGCAATTTTTCAATCGTCCCTGTTTTCAGGTCGACTTTATCCATTGATCAATTAAATTTTTCTCACATCCAGAAATCCAGATTCCACCATGCAGGACATACTCACTTTTAAGCCTTTTGGAAAAGAAACGATCATAAACAGACTTTAAAATATAGGTAAATATACCAAGGACACTCAAAACAACAGCTACTGTTATTGGTATGACTGAAGACACCTCTTCTGAAAGATAAAAAAAAACATGCAACAATAACCAGAAGTACCCAATTTTCCTGGACTAAAACAAATGTTTTATCTAAAAGCAGATTTACCATTGTAATATAACGTTGAACCAAAGAATTCTTTGTAACTTGATTTCAGATTCTGTGAACGATGCGTAATCCCAACACTACTAATATAGGTCTTTTTACACTTTCAGGAAATAATAGAACTGCAATGCAGTGGGTAATACTTTTCTCTCTTAATTACAGATATTTTTAAGTCTTCAATTGGCATTTAGCAATTGTAAGTTTGATTTAAAGACGGCTTTTTAGAACAACAATGACTTGTTTTATGAAACGTTTCGACGGGTTTCTCCTATGAATACAGTTATTGTTTATGTATGCGCAGTTTTCTATATGCGTGATAAACCATATGTGTGACTTTTAATAAGTAGGCTATGATGCATTTCTTCTCAACTTTTTTTTGAATCTTGTCTTTTTCATATGCGCAATTTAATTCCTAACCGATTATTTTGTTAAATGATTGGTATGATAAGGAAGAAAGTTAATTAGAAATAGATTTTCTACTGATTATCAACACAACTATTACAATTTTAATATTGATTATAGTATATATAAAGTATAACTCGCTCTATTCTATTGTGGGCTTCAGTTTATATTTTTGATTCATTTTCACGAATCATTGTCATGTTTTCTATAGTTTTACTGATTTATTCCACATAATATTAGACGGAAATCACATGAAGCTATTACAATCAGCACTAAATGATTATAAATTTTGTACTAATTTTGTTGAATACATTGGTAGAATTTTATCGATTTATTATGATTAAAATGTTGATAACATCTTTCATATGTGTCCTCTGTGTACCTAGGTATTCCTTATTTTTCAAACCAAAGATAATGTGATATTTTTTTTTATTAATCTTTTACTGAAAACAGCGGACCTTTATCTGAAATATATATTTTACTCAAGAATCAAAACGGATCAAATTTTGTGGTCAAAACATATCCCAATTTTTATTTCAAAGTCAATTGCATGTAAATAATCAAACGGGGACCAACGTGAAGGGGCAATATGCAAAATTTTCATTATTAATAAAATTGTTTATTGTAGGTGAACATATTTCTAATACACACTTCATCAACCTGTATTTCTCTAGATTTTGGTGTAGAGGTTTCATAAATCTGAGCAAACTTACTTTAAAACAGCAGACTGAGTAAGTTTTATATAACTTTTATACTTACTTTCTGTAAGTACTGTGACACCTTCAGAAGACACAGTTAATGTACCAGATCTAGTCCGAATCTCGGCCTCTACTGTTATATTTGTATATTGAGTACTTGGTGTTAAACCGTTTATTGTAATAGAGGTTATTGAACCATTGTTTATAGTTCGGTTTATCTTATTACTTAATATCAGATATCTCATTGTACTGTTCACTATTTTTTCTATCCATGATAACTTAAAACTAGATGATGTTATATCTGATATACTAATGTTTTTAGGCTTCAAGTCATCCTCTAGAAAAAAAGATCACATGTTTATAAAATAGCAATAATTGCCATGATCTGAAATCATTAGCGATGGTCTGGAATATTTACGAACGAAAACATCTTCTTGTTCATTGCTTCAATAGACAGAATCTGCTTTTATCACAAAATTCATATTTTCCAGCTATATATAGGCCCTATAATGGAGATGTAACAATCTTAAACTCACTGCGCTCACAGTTTTCTTCAATAGAATAATAGTCAGCATCGCAAACACAGACACCAGATTTGCATGTAAAACCACTCTTGCCCTCCATATTACATGAATTTGTCGGTAACTTGCATTTTGAGCCAACAAGGGATTCTGCCTGTAAGTGAAAGTATTCAAATAAATCATGATGCCTTGAAGTATGAATGAAGTGAGTTTTAATGAGAAGCATCTTACAGTGTTATGAAGGAAATTTTACACGGCACCCATTTGCCCCCTTGTAACGTAGGTCAGGGCCTCAGTTTATTGTCTCATCCACAAGACTAAGCGTTTTTCACCTTCGACCTGCATTGTTGAGCAATGTAGACTGTTGTCAAAAGTCAATCTTTGGACAACTTTACCATACCAGGTTGTATCAATTTCCAATAAGGATACTCTTGGAGTTGTATATACCTTAGGGAATACAACCTCTTGTAGTCCACGGGTTACAAGGTCTTTTATGTAACAGTGTTACATTAATCGGTATAATTGATTTCTAAATGGAACAAAGTTTGTAAATTGACTCAAATTACATTTGATTTAACGCTGTATCATTGACAACGGTTGTGTCGATTGTCCAAGATTTGTGTATAGTTTACATTTACATTAGTTTTTGTCATAAAAAACTGCAACGTTTTATCTTGATTTTAACCGTCAAGGACTTATCAAACAACATTTTATGAAGCAAAAGTGTTTTGAACAAAAACCTATAATCATCCGGACAAATTCAAAGAAACATTTAACGAACAGCAAAGAAGGTTTACAGCCCGTGAAAATTAAAATGAAATCGATCAGCCGGCACAATGAAACATCTTAAAGTTCCATGTGTTCTGATAAATCTGTGAGCAACAGGATTTTCAACTGCTATCACAAAATTGTTGGGTTTAGTCAAAATTAGCGCTCCGTCGACTAAAACACGCAGTTGCCGTAAGGTACTAAATGTTTTGCTTTTTTCAGCGAATATCCAGTTGATAGAAGACACTTTGGTCGACATCTCGATATATGATCATGACCAGTTGACTTGAATACCGCTTGAAGAACTGTATTTTATTTCCAGTAAATAAAACAATCATTCTGTCGGCTGTTGAAGTATGTCCCTTTAAGACCACAGACAGATATCACAATTTATGATTATTTGATTTGATAAATAACTATTTTTTACCTAATAACCTTTTTACATATTTATCAGAATAACATTACATGCCTATCGATTTACGAAGTTTCCGCCGAAAAGTAAACAAAGAGAAGAATATCAAATCCGTGGGAAATATGATAAATGACTGCGGATAACCACATCGTGTTGTAATGCTAGGTTCCTACCAGCCTGTAATCGATGTTATTGTTTACTTCCGAAAAATTTCGTCTTTGGAAATTAAGCGAAGGGCTCAGATAATGGTTTTTCAATAAACCACTTTTCAACGTTTTTAATAAAAAAAAAAAAGTGGTATATCTCACATAGCAGAGTAAAATAATTGAATTGGAAGTCTTCGCTTGGGCGGTTTATAGATTTGGGGATTCCATGAAACAACCTGTCCTCCCTTGAGAAACAAGTAGTTAAATTCCGATATTAGCCTATTGCCCAAAATGATCCGATAACCTGGGACCATCAATTGCATGAAAATAATATTGGATATGGTCCAATACATTACCACAATCAGGAACTGCAGCAGAGAAGTCATTCATCTTAATCATAAAATTGTAGGTTCCGTTCAAACCCATCGTTTCATGATACGAGATTATTTCAGGTTTTATGGTTGGTGGGGGCATAGAATAAAGTAATTTCACTTACCGTTTTGATCAATATACTTATGTATATAATTAATGGAAGAGTATCCATCTCTGTTGACTCATACAATTCCAGACATCTATAATTTACATCATTTTAGTATAAGCTAAAACCGTTCTCATTTAAAAAGGAATCATATTCAAAATCAAAAATATGATACAAATGAATTGGTCTTTCGATCGTATGTCAATGTATGGGTCAAAAAGATAACATTTTCCTCGACAAATAAAATATGTGAACTATCTGTAATATAAAAGTGTGATATAGCTTTTTAGGAGGTATAGAATGGTTGATTATTTAAGACTTGAGATTGTCGACCACGTCATATAGATACGCCTACTGCGGCAAAGCTTTTTCACATTTTACCATCAAAATCGTAGCGAAGTGTCCAAATTCTTGCTTTTTTTATTTTTTGATCATGCTTCTACTTTTTTTCAAATCGTTGAAATTTTATGGAGCAACAACAATATAATATTCAAGGACGATATCTCATTGTTGTAAACCCTCCTGATTCCCGTAAACTGTTCAAATTTCAACATAATCTCAATTTTGGCTTCTATGCATTTATTCCAGTCTTATGTAGAAAATAGATGCAAACCGATAGCAGAAAGGATATATTCATGATACTTTCTCGTTTTAGAAAAGATACCCCTAATAAGATTGGGCAATTCAAAGCATTAAATCGGAGATCGCATACAAATTTGACACATCTGTACCTCCGTTGAGAAACGATTCGTTAAAATAATCCGGGATCATATGTGAGGTGAAGACAAATTTGGACATACCCCAATACAACACCGGAATGAATGCGTTGTTTTACGATCTAATAAAATTAAGTTTGATCGCCGCAATGTGTATATGACAGCTCTTTTGCTATGATCCAACAGAAAAAAGAAAAAACTGTTGTGTACATGTACATGTATTTGGCAACTTTAGTTGTATCATTAGGCTAGTACGTAAAATTTAACAAATATAGAAAGTAACGATTTAAAGTCATAAATATAAGGAAAGTAAGAAAACGTTTGAGTTCAAACATTAAAACAAACTGAAGACAGAAGATGGTTGTTGTTCTGAAGAACCACCAAAATTAAACGTAAAACCTTCAGTTGACTCAGGAGACTTAGCTCCAGTATCATTACCACTAAAGTTGAATGAAAATCCAGACGTATCTTCTTTGTCGTTATTAGATCCACTGCCTTCAAAGAAACCCATAAAGCTGTTCGCGGTATCAGATCCTGGTTCTGCAGTCATGGAGTCGACACCAAAACTAAATACGGAGGAATTTGCGGTTTCTGTAAAAGATAGTAATGACGGTTACAACCAGACTTTTCAGCAGTAGTTGTCGTGTACTAAATTTGACAAAGGATGTGGAGGAAGGATCATGGTGGTGAAATTACAATATAAGCGAAATACAGACTTTTCATAGTTGCACTCGTTTTATAACTTGTATATAAATTGGAAAATGAAATTCTTGACAGATGAAAGATCTTGTGAAAGTATTTACCAGGTGATGAGATATTTGAGAATAATGACATATTGAATTCTGGTCGTCCTGTTGCCTGTGCTTCTGCAGTCTACAAGAATAGAAGAAAAATATATCAAAGGGGTTGATCATTTGTTATTTTGTACAAAAATATCCTTCCATGTCAGCTAGCGTAGTGTCTGTTTTGACGATTGTCAATCGATTGTGGGAGTTATGTTGAAAATTTCTTCAATTCTAAAAGGAGACCAACAGACAAAATCGCATAAAATGTAGATCAAACACAAAACTGTTTTTACTTGTAAAAATGACAAACCATCTTATTATTCTGGTTAAAAGTTTGAAGAAAACCAGCAGCGGGACTTGATATCACGCAATCGCCCTATAAATAGAAGATGTTACACACAATTTCAGATATTGTCTTGTTTTTTTTCGCAAAACATATATTGTGACCAACACTGGAGTTGTTATGAGCGGTTGTCAACCACGACTTCATTGCTGATCCACGTTTTTTTTTAAAGAACTTGTCTGTGACAATATCAGCTCTAATTCACTAATTGTAAGAAATGTCGGGGTTTCCAAATTGATTTAACAAATGAACCTCTGTAATGATAGTAGTAACATTTTAGTTTATTTTCACGAATTTCAAGTAAACCTACCTGATTATCAAACATAGCTCTACTCTTCAGAGGCATGAATCCAGGCGATTTCTTTAAATTCTGCATCTTCTCTAGGTGTTTGTCGAGATCAAAAGGACTATTGGACGAGCTGGAGTTAGCAGAAGAGTTCTTTGGTGTTTTAGGACTGTTTGTCACTGGAGGATAAAATACACATACAATAACGACTGACTCTAAAAGATTCATAATTGTCTGTCTTTTTTTCCATATACCAATCGATGACTTCATAAAGTTTAATGAACATTTAAATATGTCGCTGGAAGTGCGTTATTTTGAAGTTTTACAACTGTTGTTTGGGTTGTAACTGCTCTGGTAACTTACCTGTTGGTGTCTTCTTCTTCTCTGTCACTTGAGGTGACTTGTTTTGGATTACTGTTTGTCGAACAGGAGATTGTATATTTGGTATCTGGCTTCGAATCATTGGAGATCTTAGTATTTGCGGAGAGAAAGATCTTAGTCCTCTTGTTTCTTGCATCATTGTTAGCGGGTAATGCGGTCTTCCTGTACCTTGATGGCGGGGAGGACGGGGTGCCAGGAGATTGGGAATTCTTGGAGTCAGAATAATAGGAGTTCTCGGTCGAGGCGTAATCTGCATATTATTAAAGCGTTGTTGGTTGTTGTCATGATCAGAGTGTGGTCTTATGGTAGGAGTTTTGGAAATATTTGATGAAGGCGATGGCGAGGATTTTGCGTTCTGATTGATAGATGGTATTGTAGGCACTGAAGTCAAGGTAGTAGATCCACTTGAGTTAGTTCGGTTGTTCCCTCTTCTGTTGAGTGACTGGTTAGGGTTGACAGCGGTCACTTCCATCGGCTGTCGATCAGTTTCTCCGTTGGCCTCTTCTCTTTGCGTCGAGCTCTCCTTCTCCTTGAATAAAAGAGACATTTGGAAGTAAGACATAATGAGGTACAGATTTATTCAAACTTGAATGCAAGTTGAATAGCTCTCGATTTGTGATTGTTAAGTGCACTATTAAGTCACGATGTGAACTTCAAAACTTACCTTTAACAATTGACTATCTTGACCTTCCATCGGTTGTATAGTTTTATCTGTTTCTGAAATAGCAATTATTAAATCAGTACAAGAGAAAATTGAACAATACTATTTCCATCATACCAGTATTATGAGTCTTTTGCTCATTTGTAGGATACAAAGAATTTAAAAATCATGTCTCACCCATGCCAATTTCTTCATTATTATTGGTATTCAATAAAGCTATATCAGATTCCATTTCATCTGCTTCATCGTCTGATTTATTACAGAACACCCTTATAAATAAATAAAACGTTTACACCTAGTCTTCAAATGAGGATCAGACGGACAGGTCATCGATAATCAAATACAAATGCGGGGGCATTTTTAATGTTCTCACAAAAAGATACTTAAAGGTAGAGTTGATTTATATAAAAGCATATTTTTCAACTATTCATTGCTATTATAAGATTACGAACCCAATCATCATTGACTGACTTTCAATACTTTCTCTGGAGTTACTATCTGTAACCTTTTCTTCTTCTTCCTGAAAAACCAGAAACTTAATTATATCTGAACGTGTGATCATTGGAAGAGCAAAAAGATATACATTCTGTAAATCAAAACAAGAATCTTCTACCCGGTCAACTCGTGAAGAAATGTATTTGCCGGCCTTTCCTCTTAGCTATCTAGTTATAGTTAAACGAAGATTTGCCTTTTCTTGATTAGGGTGTGATGTGAGTGTGATATGAATGATATAGAACATTTTTAAAACCTTCTTTCCTTGTCTGAATAAATATATTATTTTTATTATTATTATTTACAGCCTGTTTCTTCTTGTTTTCTTCAATTTCTTTCAATTCCTTTTCAAGATCTTGTTTTTCTTTCAAAGTATCCTCAATTTGTTTTGTAATTTTTAGAGTATCCAGCTTCATCTGTGCGCTATGGATGTTAAGGATATATTTCCTCTGGTTTTGTTCTTAATTTAACAGTCACATCCAACAATGAATTAAATAACATGCGCATTATATTGAGAATTATACAGTATCTGTAATTACCAATATCAATGACTTTCAAAATCTCCCTAAAAACTTAACATTAATTTGCAACACTGCCCAAACAACAATATATGTCCTCGTTTACGTTATACATTTATAAAAGTACATATAAAAAAGTATACAGTTTTGTTATAAAGTTATTTAAAATCTTCAGATTGAAACCATCATCACCTGTAACAGTTAAAGTAAACCAAACTGATAAAGTAAACAGTTATTTCATAAACGGACATATTATCGATCTGGGCGTAACAGCAGAAAAAACTGCAAGGGGTGTCCTTATAGCATCATAAAGAATTTTATAAAATTATGGATATTGCAAATGCATATGTACTGTAATGTGTGAAACCTTCTTGCCAAGAGGTATATGTGCGTTAATGACATTTTCAGCCTCCCGGGGAACCAATTGATTATTTTTATGAAACTAAAAAGAAATAGAAAACATGCCCTGACGACCATGCATCGAATTTTTAATAAAACTGTACCTTGAGCTAGTGTTATCTTTTCTTTGAGTTGATCAGCCTGTTGTCTAGCAGATTCTACCTGTTGTGATAATACCCCAAACTCGTCTTGTTTCTTCTGTAGTTTAATAGCCAGGGGAAATCTCTTATATGTTGCTGAATAATCTTCCCATATATTTCTATAGTGTTGTAAAACGCCTGCTCTTTCACTTCTTAAATGTATTTCGAGTTAAATACAATAGGGGTTTTATTGTCATATCTAATGCGCAAAAAATCCCGTAATGCTATTTAATGTGTGTACCTTACTGAGATTTTTCTATTCCAATTTTTACAATACACGAGGCAAAAGACTGCGGATTATCATACCGAAAGTCATATTATTATGCAGTATATATTGAGTGAACTTACCTATCATTCTCTCCAGTAGAATATATAGATGTCAGTTTTTTATGTAGTGCTACTTCATGTTCCATCAAAACTACAGTTGTTTTTCTCAGACTGGAATACAATGTGAATCTCTATCTTAGCCCACAAATTAGTTCAAAAATGTGTTTGACAATGTGTTAATTTTCAGAATTTAGACTTTTCACATCTATATCAAGCGTTCTTCTCTTGTTGGAATTGGGGGTTGGTGATTTCAACATAGTGTTGCCCTTTCTTTAACTCAAAGCCATCATGTAAACTCTAGAATCTTAGCATTGATATGCAAAAAGTAAAACCCAACCTTTCACAGTTTTCTCTATTCTGTGTAAACTGTCTGTGTGAACGTTTGGTATCATCGTCTAATTTTGATATCAATAACTGTAACTGCATCAGATTATTTTGTTTCACTTCTGTTTCTTTCATATATGCTGAAATTCAAATAGTATTCCATTGATGGGAAGTCCAATGCAGACGGCATGTTAAAGAAGCGTATGATTTGGCGAGCAAAGTCGGCTAAGTTTAACGGATCGAGACAGTTAATTTGTTTGCCTTTGCATTACATGATTTGAAATTGAAAGATGGATTTTATTGGTATTATACGTAGCCTACCTTCGATTTGTTGATTTTCCTTCTCTATCAGTTTTACATATTGCTTGTTGTCAAACTCTGTAAAAGAAAAGAAACCGTCTAGCTTGTATTGTAATGTAGTCTATAGAATAGAATTGAAATTCATACCATGGATAAACACCCTTTTAACTTTTACGCTTGATGCCTAGTTACTGTTAGTAACAATTTAGCATAGCTTAGATAAGGTATGGTCTGGTATACTCATTACTACATTGCCTGCTGCACGGCATCTGATACAAGCTAGGCCAATGCAATTCGAGGCCAGGGTTCTCTGAATACAACAAATTAGGCCTAACATAAGGATTGGCATTAATCTATTTAGTACTCTAAATAACCCTATTTAGTACTCTAATTCTAAATAAGGCGTAGCCGTAGGGTAGACTAGGGCTATTTTAATGTTGTGTTGGTCCTATTCTTAATCTTGATCTCTGCTGGACTGAGCTGACCGCCCAAGTTTCAAATCTGTGCAATTTATACCCTTACAACAGCCAGACAAAAACTCAAAGAGGATTGTTTTCGCACCAAAACTTTGCAGAAGTTTGTCGAGATCAGAAGCTTCTGTAGAGTTCAAAATATTTTCAATCATTGCCATTCTCGGCGAAAGCAATTCGTCTGCTGAAAATTGTCAATCAGTGGATTGCGGTATATGGGAGGTAACTCTCAACTAACAAAATTTGACATTAATTCGCCTAAAGCAGGACACGGAATAGAAAAACATTTGTATGACTATAAAAAGAGTACATTCAATGCCAGGAGGTGCATTATCCTTAATACATTATTAACTGATATTATGAAACTAAATTGTTTTGTTGAAATGTATTCTGCCTTAAATAGAAAGTCAGTTCTAGATACCTGTTTCTTGTCCGATTTGAGATGAAACCAATACTTCACTGCTTATCAAAAATGGCGAAGGTTTGTTTACAAAATTTTCTAAACGATTTATTTGTGAAAATATTTTTATCTGTCACATTTATTTGCAAAGTTCTGAAATTGTAGTTTTCTAAATTGACCTTGTGTGTCGTCCTGAATCTTTTACACCATCATATTTCAATGTCTTTTGGAAGAATAAATGCAAGCTTATTAGTTTTGGATATTTTCACATTTCGATTTGCAAGTCTGAACTTGAAAAATACAAGGCCCTTTATTTTGTGTTTGCCTTTAAAATTTAAATTTTAGATTTCGTGCAGCTCTAGGAGCAATGGATGACTCTACTACAGATATGTTTTTTCACTCAGTAATAGGTGACATATCTGACTATTTAAGCTCTAATTTACTTACTTAGCAGGTCTAAATCAATTGTAAACCTTTGCAGCATGCATGCCCCTCCTGTGGAACAAACTTTTGACCACACAACAACCCATGTAGGGAACCAGCGCTGTTATATCAAAGAGAGCTGTATTATCAAAGAGTGATGTGCATACTAAACAATACTTGAAATGCCTAGCAATATCCCCCAGATTGTCTTATAGTAGTCAATAGTGTACAAAGCCTGTATTCTAAGTGTAAAACTACTTGGAATAAGCTTAGTTATCATGTGACTTATTTTGACAGGAACAATAAATAATAGTAAGAAGTGGAAAGTGGTATTGTAGAATTGTGTGGTATGATTATAATACTACCTTCAAGATGATGATCAATAACCAAGTTATCCTTGAAGAGGATTATGATGAAAATTATCAACCCACAGAGGATGGTAAGGAATATCTTTTTTATTCTTTTTATAATTTTAGTTCACGCCTGATGAATGTATAAAACTATTTCTTTTCAACTAAGCAAAGAAAAGAAAATATTATATACTGGTGCCTACATCAGTTTTTGTGTTATATTCTTTGCATATTCTTCAATGTCATATAATATAATTGTAGAGGTATTGGAGTATGCGTCTATAATCGGTATAGATGTACAGACTGAATCCCACTTATTATACATAGCTAGAGAGGGTATAAATGCTCCATTGCCAGAAAATTGGAAACCATGGTAAGATTGAGTTCTCTTATTTCAAATATAACAGATATCGTTATTCATTGATCTACCTTATCTATTCTACTTTACAAGAATATTGATGAAAGACTGAAATTGTTTACTTGAATATGAAAGTAACATTCCCCATAACAAAATTGGCACTTGATAATATACGAATAATTTCATATGATATACTTGCAGCCAAGATCCAAACCAAGATATTTATTATTTTAATTTTGCAACTGGAGAAAGTATTTGGGATCATCCTTGTGATGAATTCTATCGTAAAATGGTTGATGAAGAAAGAAAGCGCCATCTTCTTGGAAAAAACACAGGTAGTAAATTAGACAGCATTTCTTAAAGGATAAAAACATTTCGAGAGAGATTGTGTTTTTTTTTTTCAAAATGGGCATTGCAGTTTCATGGAGAACATTTAAAATCCCTTAAGTTTATAAATCTCTGTTTATGTGTTTATGTTCAGGTGGAGCCAAAGGAAAGACTAAAACTCAAGGAGGTGTTAAAAAGAAAGGGAAAGCAGCTCCTGATAAATTTTCATCATCGGTAAGTTAATGTGTCTCTTCTCTCAAATCTGAAAACGAACGAATAGATTTTAATTTACCAGCACAATCACACTGGTTGTATACTTGATGTAATAATAGAATTTCTACTGAAGAAGATGCATGTAAAAGGGCAGATGCTACAGAAAGCAATAGAATCTTGATATTTTATAGTCTATTTTAAATGTTTTTAGTCCCTTGGCCCATTGAAAGCTGAACAGAGTTTAGGAACACCAGCTCTACATCGTGGTGGTCAGTTAAATCCCATAAAATCATCCATGGATAGTGTTGGTCAGTCTGGTCCATTAAATCAGTCCGGTGGAAATCTGGCTCCAGTTAGAGGTTCCATGGGATCCAGTCATCAGGTAAGGCTTGTTCATTTTGTAATGTTTACTTGTAAAGGGTTCTGGATATTGCATTGTTCTCTGGCCTGTGAATAAATACTTTGCAGAAACATCTATAATGGATAAATTTTTAAGAACCCAAGATTCAGGGTGAGAGGGAAAAAATAGAGAGGTTCTATGTAACTTTAAAATTTTCTCTTTATTAGAGTTCATCAGGGAACGTAAGTGATAGTTAGGATTAACTATAGCCTAGATTCATTATATAAAACATATCAAATTTAATTTTTTTTTTTTTTTCTTCTATTATAATTTAGGCAGACTTATTAACACATGAGAGTAATTAATAACATAAATCATATCATTGCATCATTTATAATTTATAGCATATCAATTTTTAAGCTAGATAAACTAATATTCATGAATTATTTTTCTTTGTAAAACATATAGAAGTAGGAAGGCAAACATAAATAACACAAGATATATGGATATGTAATAAACTCAGAAGTAGTATATCCATATATCTTGTGTTATTTATGAATTATTATGATGAAGAATTTTTATACGCCTTACTTATAATATGAAGCAAATTTTAACTCAGCCAATATATATCAAAATTGGCAGAGCACATTTTTGAGACAATTTTGATCAATTTTGTAGTTTAGACAGTTGAAATTTGGTGAGCTTTGAAGTGTATAGTTTTTTCGTCGACTGCTGGATCTTTTTTGAAATTGTATAGATCATAATATGCTATATTATCAATCAAATAGTAGACTTTCAGTTTCTTCCTTCAGCATATAGGTGATGTTTTTATTGTAAGCAAGCGACTATTCTTTCACAAACTATCTATGAGCCTATTACATTTCAATGATCAGTAAAATAAATATTTTCTGTTTCCACAGATAAAAGGCAGCATCAACACTTCAGGTTCCTTTAATAAGACTAATATGACTAGTAGTATTAGTATACCTGTATATTCTACTGAATATGAAGATGAAGTAAGTATAATTATTTATGGAAGAGGAGGACAGGAGTTTCGATTTTTTTTAGGCCTACATTATAATTTGAATGTAGAAAGTTGTCAACCATGTCTGTCTATCCACAGTTGCCATGTGAACACAATAGAGGCTTCAGTGTTGCTTTGATTTTGTTGAAACTTTTTAAGCAAATGTTCAATGACTATTTTTTTGCTGCTGGGTGGGAGTATAGCCATTTGGATGAATGCTCACTTTGCTTCTAAAAAAAAGATAATAATGTCTTGTGTTTTTCAGGATGATAAGTTAGGTGGTAGTATTAATAATGTAATGGATGTATCAGCCCTAGGTTTTGAGGTATGGTTATGTTTCTGTCAGACTTTTACTTCAAAATAGCTCTGGAGAACCATTTTTTGATCAAACTTACTGTATTGCAGTCAGACTATGTGTCAGATATGTTGTTTCCATCAGTCAAAATCAGTCAGAATTTTCTCAAATATTAACATTGGTGTATGTATACCATTTACAGGACTCTCCAACTAGAACTGAAACAAGAGAAACAACTAAAATTCGTATTGAATCCAACTCAGAATCTGATAGTGAAGATTATGGTAAAGATGTTGTAAGTAATTGTTTGTAAACTAATGACCCATCAGGATATTAGTGTTAAATGCCAAGTAAGGAATTGATTCTAAATTTAAACTAGAGCACTAATGTTGTATGATTTTGTTAAAGGCAAATTTACTTAAAATATGGTTGCAGAAACTTTACTTTAGATGAAAATTTGTTAAATTTCAATCCCCAGTATTTAAACCATATATTAAAGAGATACTTAAACCATACTAACAGTAATGTCATACCACTATATTTTACCCTAGGATTTTGGTATTGACAAGAATCTGTCAGACAGAATACGTGAATTAGAACCAGAACTAAGAAATTCCTGGGAGAAAGATTTAGAGGGAACATTGTCTTTGAAATCTACAGCTAGAGGTGAAGATGGTAAAATTAGTCCATTAGTTGATGATAGAAAAAGAAGATCTGAATTACTGGCGTCTGCTGCTGAAAAGTATGTATTTTATATAATCATATAGATTAAATACATGTGAATAACACAGTGTAACAAATTAATACAATTGTTCAACTCAATCTTGATAATATGTACACAACAGTTTTTTTAATCTCCAGGAGAGTTGACCCTGATAAATATAACGAGGATGAAACAAGACTGAAAACAGCAAATGATAAAGCTTTGGAAGAAATGAAGAAAAGAATGGAAAGAGAATTAGAAAATGCTAAATTAGAATTATTAGAAGTAAGTTATTTCCTTGTTAAATTCAAAAGTAGACATCTGCATCCCGAAATATAACAAGACTTGATCCTTTGTATTATCCTTTGTCTTTTATTAACCCTAAATTTCACTATTGCAGGATAAAGATGCTAAAATAAAGAAATTGAAGAAAGATATATTAGATGAACAAAAGGAGGAAGAGAGAAGATTAAGAAGAGAAAAAGAAGATAGTGTCAAGTAAGAAATCTCTAAGATTTGACTTAATTTGTTTTTCTATATTTTCTTATTTCTTTATTTAATACTTTTCTCTTAAACTTTTGCATTCATCTAAAAATTTATCTTTAATCTGTCTATTTCTTGAATTAGCTGCAATCTATGTCTGATTTTTCTATCATTAGATGTAACAAAGCTATGATAAAAGTACTTAGCTATAAATTTGAGTAATTTATCTGAAAGAATCATGGTCTTTTTTAGTATTAGTTTTGATTTAAAGTGGAAATATATTCCAATTGACTTGGTATATTTTGTAATATCTATATTAAAGTCTACAAGCAGGTTTATAACTTCACATTTTGGTGAAATAATTATAAAAATCATTTCTTTACAAAGATATAATCAAATTAAAATCATAAACATTAATTGAAATTGATAAATCTGTGTACAGATTGAGACATTGTGAAGCTGGTGCATACTTCCCCTTTAACAATCATTTTAGACTTGTATCAAACATTCTTTGTATCTGTCTGTAGATTTTTAGATGTAACTATAGAAATCTATTCTATCTTTCTGTAGAGAATTAGATTTAGCTTTAAAAGGTGATTTAGAAAAAGAACAAGCTAACTTAGTCAAAAATGGTGAAATTCTAAAATTAAAGCAACAATATGAACAACAACAAAAAGAAGAAGAAAATAAACTTCGGTAATAGATGATTGTTGTGATTTGATTAATTTTCTGGCAAAATCATTTTATGCATGAATAATAAATTTAAAAAAAAAACATATTTTCATTTATCGACACATGAAATGCACAAAAAATAAACACATACGGTTAATAACAATTTCATTGAGGGGAGGGAAGGGGACTAACCAGTCAAAAAATCAGAGCCTGTTTTACAGAGCATGTTGAAAATACTGCTTGGAAATAAAAAATTTATATGTTATATTAACTCAATGGTTTTGAAATTTTCATAGATTTTTCAAGGAATTAAATGCCAATTTTTCAGTCGAAATTATGCATACACACCTATGAAATTATACAATAGTTAAATTGAATTGTGCTGTTTTACTTGTCATTATAGAGAAGATATGGAGAGAGCTCTAGAAAAACTCAGAGATGAAGTTAAATCTTTGCATGAAGAAGAACAAGCTAAGCTAGAAGATGAAAAAAAGAAAGCTTTAGATAAATTACATAATCAAGTAGAAAGAGATATAAGTGGAGAGAAAGATAAATTAGAGAGAGAGAAAAGAGAAGAAATTAAGAAATTAGAAAGAAGACAACAACAAGAAGTAGATGACATGAAAGATGAAATGGAGAGAAAACACAGAAATAAAATAGAACAGTTAAAATTGGAGTTAACAGAGAAACATGAAGAGGTATTTTATATTAAAGTTAGCTCAATTTGCTAGATAGATATTTGATAAGCAAAATTGCAGCTATTTATCACTTTCTAAATCTGTAGTTTTTCTGCAGCTTAACAAACCACACTATCAGGATGATTATTAGACTTAAAGGGATAACTTGTATAAAAACAGCATGGATATACATGTGTATCCCTTTAAATATAACAAAAAATATAACTGAAGCTAATATGTCTTTTGGATGTTTTGATCCAGATGCATTAATCATTGATATATCTTGATCAAGCTGTTTAAGAAGAATTAAAAGGACATGATAAACTCCAAAAGTGACACTTTATATAATGAATTGCCTGCATTGAAGTTGCTTTTAATGAAATTCTGCATAATTATGTCTAGGCAATGGAAGAAATGAGTAAAGAAATAAAGAGATTACAAGAGAAAGAAAGAGAGGAAGAAGAACATGAATTAGAAGCTACTAGAAATAGACAGAGAGCTATAGATGATTTAGATAGAGGGGTAAGAAACTGTTTGTTCTGTATCCTTTAATTGGCTATTGATCAAAGTGGATGAATTAGGCTTCTAGAATACTGTTTGAAAATATTGTCTATTTTGCTCCATAGA